CGATGGGCTGCGTGATGATGAACGTGGACATTAAGAGCGGCCAACGCCTGTGGTAACAGCGGCGATCCGGGGCGGGGGGCGTTGGAATCTGGGCTTGCCTGACTTGACCCTTCTTCCCCCCGCCTCGAAGCGCCGCGAGGGGCTCTCCTGCAAATTGCCCCCGCGTCACCACAAGCGTGATAATGATATCGGCACAAAGGGCCAGCTTTCGGCTCGATAGGGCCGCTGTGCTCGATAACCTCAAAAGTACGAGACGCTCTGCGACATCGATCTCGCCTTGGGTTGTTGGCTGGTTGTTGTTTTTTGTGTGTCCTCTCGCGCTTCGCAACAAATGCCCATGCCGTTTGCTGCTTGAACACTGCGCGACCTCGTCATAACGCGTCAGCCACGATCATTCCACTGCTGGATGACGAAGGCTTCCTCAAATCGTCACCCCCGTTATCACGGGCACCTGGCAACGACCCCGACGCCCAGCACGTGCCCAACACGTTCCCAGCACGTGCCCAACACGTGCCCAGTACCCAACACGTGCCCAGCACATGCCCAACACGTGCCCAACACGTGCCCAGTGCCCAACACGTGCCCAGCACGTGCCCAACACGTTCCCAGCACGTGCCCAGCACGTGCCCAGTGCCCAGCACGTGCCCAACACGTGCCCAACACGTGCCCAACACGTTCCCAGCACGTGCCCAACACATGCCCAGCACGTGCCCAGTGCCCAACACGTGCCTAGCACGTGCCCAGTGCCCAGCACGTGCCCAACACGTGCCCAGCACGTGCCCAACACGTTCCCAACACGTGCCAATCTCCATGGCTCCGTCTCCGCATTGGAGTGTCCGCTCGTGCGAGCACCGTAGCACCGTAGAGGCATACACGTGCGGGAGAACGTGAATATCCTTTCTGAATTTGGCCCTGTGCAGCCCACAGTGTTGTTCTGCACGCGTCTGTACATTGACGAGATATTCCGAGCAATGCGCCCATGCACTGTTTGTCACATTTGACTATTTAATTTTACCAGGTAAGGCCCACTGAGTTATACAACAAACAAAAAATTCAGAAGGGACCTGGTCATAAATGATACCTCAACGAAGAAGCCTATCATCTGGAAATTTAAAGCAGCCAAATACTCTAAACCAAGGGTGGGGAACCTTTTTGGCTGAGAGAGCCATGAAAGCCACATATTTTAAAATAAATTTCCGTGAGAGCCATATAATAAATTTTTACACTGAATACAACTAAATGCGTGTATTTTTAACTAAGACCACCAATTTTAGAATATAATAAGTCTCTGAATGTATCCTTTTTAATAACGTTGTTATACCAACAACCTATAATAAATAAAATACTTCTTACCATTAATGCGACGTCTGGTGCTGCATGGTTTTGCTGATGGCTTTGTAGTCTGGTTGATACGTGGTGAGGTTAAGCTTCATGCAGGCGTTGAGGCTTTCATCCGTTAAACGGGATCGTAGGTTGGTCTTGATGTTTTTTAGATGTGAGAGTGACTGCTCACATGAATACGTAGAACCAAACATGGTCAATACAGCAATACTCACACGCTGCAGTGTGTGGTATGTGACAGGAAGCGCGTTCCATGTTTTGACAATTAGCTGGTCTGCGGGTTGAAGTTTTTTCATTTCTGTCCACTTGTGTTTGCTCGCCAGCTCTGCTTGCTGTCATTCAAGTCTTTCCAAATCTTAATTCAGTGACTTGAACTTATTCACCCACATGTCTGAGGCCTTCAGGTCAGCAACTTCTAGCTCAAAATCTCTGATGGAGACACCAGGGATGTAACTCAGGTCGACTTTGTCCACTGCACACTCGTGTGGATGAGTGATGAACTTGAAAAGACGAGTGTGCTCACGAAATTCTCCAAAGCGTGCTTTGAATGACTGCTGGAGATCAGATGTGAAGCCAGCTAGCTGCTGGAGATCAATATGTTGAACGGGGTCACTTGCTGTGCACGCATCTTTAAATTCTCTCAGTTTTTCAAAGTGCAGTAAACGACCTGTTTCAATATCCACGATGAAGAGTTCCAGCTTGTTTTCAAATGCAAACACTGCTTGTTGAAGGGATAAGACTGTATTTCCAATGCCTTGCATTTTCACATTGAGCTGGTTCAGATGTCCAGTCATGTCCACAAGATAGTAAAACTTCAGGAGCCACTCAGTGTTAGCTAGCTCAGGATGCTCGACATCTTTCATTTCAAGAAAAGTCCGGATTTCGCTCAGGCAAGCCGCAAAACGGCTCTTGACAACCAACGAACATTTCTGTGCAAAAGCAGACTGGCATAATGATTCCCAACTTCATCCAGCAGTGTTTTAAACTGGCGATCATTTAAAGCTCGGGCAACAATAAAGTTGACCGACCGAATGACCAGTGACATCACCTCACCAAGCTGCTCGCCACACATTGGAGCAAAAGCGCCTCCTGATGTAGAATGCAGTGAAGACTTAGGATTGGTCTTTTTTCATATTGACGAAGAAGCGCTACAAATCCTATGTTTTTCCCTACCATACACGGAGCACCATCAGTACACACCGAAATAAGCTTATCCATCAGTAGATTTTTTTTCTTTAGCGAACTCAATGAAAGACTTGAATAAATCCTCCCCTCTCGTTGACCCTTTCATTGGCAAAACAGTAAGACGTTCCTCACGCAGTGTGTCACCGGCAGCATACCTTGCAATCACACTGAACTGGGATAAATGACTTACGTTTGTTGACTCATCCAAAGCGTCCAAAGCGAGGGAAAGTATGGCACTGCATTTATGTCCTTCACTTGTTTTGCCATCATTATGGTACGATCGTGAACAGTTTTTGCTGACAGAGGCATGTCTTTTATTCGTTTGATTATCTTGTCTTTATCCAAAAAGTCGTCAAGAAGTTCGTTGGCCACATCAAGCATGAATGTTTAGGCATACTCGCCATCTGTGAATGGCTTTCCGTTCCTCACAATTGCTAAAGAACCAGCAAAGCTAGCCGAATTCCAGTCACCTTGACTGGTCCATACACGGAGTTGCTGCTGACTAGCTTGCACTCTGGACAGTAGCTCTTGGCATGCCTTCTTTCTGCTGTCCCCCGCTGGATATTTCGATGCAAATGTAGCATGGCGTGTGTCGAAGTGCTGCTTTATATTTGACCGTTTCATCGATGAAATTTTATCATTGCATATTAGACACACCGCAGAACCTGCTCTCTCCACAAAGGCGAATTCTTCTGTCCATTCGTGCTGAAATGTGCGGTACTCCTAATCTTTTTTTCTTTTCGCCATCTTTATAAAAAGGGTTTGCTCTGCATAAATTAGCTAGCTGACTATTTGATTAAAAGGACGGAAGTTTACTTCTTGACCTCACAACGACCCGTAAGCTACCGCATTATCCAATAAAAATAGAGTTTTGGTGTCGGACAGCTGGGATTGGCTGAGTCTAAACGTTTGTTTACTCTAAATATGGAGGGAAAAACTGGAGGACCCGGAGAAAAAGCCACACGACCGCGGGGGAGAGAGACATGCAAACTCCAAATATACAGCCGTGAGGCTTGGGATCGAACCTACGACCTCCTGTATACCAGGCGAGATAGTTAACACCACGAAGGCGCACCGCGTCTTTGAATATATACACACTATTACGGAATACACAGTGGTACAAACCCGTAAATACTCAATGTCTGGCCACGTTTGGCGTTAATCATGAAGGTGTTGAGTTAGCGATGCCCAGTTACACAACCGCCAATATAGTCCCGAAATGTCGTTAATTCTCCATGTCTTTATTTATAACCGCGTGAGAGCTAATTTAGACTGTAACGACTCCTTCAAAATAAACAGCCCTTTGTGAAAATATGAACAGTGGAGTATTAAGCAGCACAGACGCATGAGAGAACATGTGTTCATGCTAAAGGCACACACATGACATTGGCGGATTTCATATCGTGCTCGAGGCAATGATGCTGGGATGCAACAAAATCAATCGTTAAACTTAATAAATAACTCTGCTTTACAGCAGAGAAGAGTATGGAAATAGGCCGCTGACGTTTCAGGCAATCACCCTTCTTTAGAGAAGACGTAAAGATTAACATAAAAGTCGAGATGTTTCACTCCGCGCTGTTGCTGCCGTGATGCGCATTGTGAATGAAGAACTCAGCGGCGAAATCGACTTCTATATTCTCCCGGTGTGAAAATGTGTAATAATAAATGGCGTGCAGTTGCAATTTAAAAGCCCCGCACACCCGGGGGAGTTCCGTGCAGTCTCCGGGATACGTACCCGCCTCTGAGCCCGCGGGGGCGACGCGGAGAGAGACAATGGGACACGCGAGGCAGACAGACATCCTCCCACTCCCCCACACAACGAAGAGTCGCTCTCGAGCACCAGGCCAGGGGTCTGACATGATCTATAACATCGCATCGCTGCTCTCTCTCTCTCTGCTCCGAGTAAGGAAGGGCAACAGCTTGAAACGACGACCCTAATCACATACTGTATAAGCTTCTGCTTATAAAGCAGTGGTAATGACAAACGCGGAGAGGTTATGTTCGATCCGCGCGCGCACAACCACTGCTAATGCATGTTATTTTTTTGTAACTACATTAATGTTTTTTTTTACTAAAGATAATTCATACTACAGTCATATTTTTAAAATATATATACTGGAATCAAATCAACTGCCGGCTCGCTGATGTTATCCTGTGCCTATCGTTGCTTGTTATCGCTGCAGCTGAGAAGAACCCCACACGGGCGCGCGACCCACGTGCTCGGGGCGGCCGGGACGCGTCCGTGTTTTTTTTATGAATGAAACGCGGCGCGCGTCGCTCATTTGCATACGCGGTGACGTAGCGCAACCCCCCCTCCCTTTCGTTTCTGCAAACTGGCCAATTGGCGCGCTCCTCTCGGGTCGTGACGCAAAGGACGTCGCGATCGCTCCGCCTTCGCGCGTACGTCGGCGTGCGTTGTGACGTCACTTCCGGGCGCGTATGTCTCCATATATAAGGGAGCGCGCGTCCCGCACGGCTGCGTGTAGTCGCAGGCCGCGAGAACAAAAAGCGCGTTGCGTTTAAAAGCGCGATCGTGATCAACAATTCACAATTAAAATCTTAGCCGACTCGATTTTCACCTCGTCGGCGGCGACCTCAGATTAAAGCTTGTTTTTTTTTCCTCGCCCTCGAATTGTTGTGTGTATTTTTGTGACTTTTATTTATATCGTAGTTAATTTTTAGTCGCTTGGTTTTTTTCCTTACTTCTTGCTGCTGCGGTATAGCCCCATTTGGCTGTATTGTGAAGTGCTGCTGCTGGCTGCTGGTGGTGGTGTTGGGAGTGATGACGGTGCGCGGTGTTGTGTGAGGCCGGGCGGTTGCTGGCCGCGCCCGTCATCATCATCCTCAGCATCTTCATCATCCTCTTCATCATCCTCTTCAATCATTTAGCGTCGCCGTCGTCCGTAGACTCCATTGGCTCCCAGTGCCACTGTCGCCTCGTGCCGCCCATTGCTGTGCCTGGATACACGAGGACCGACTGCGGTAAGCGGAGCGTGCCTTTGCATTGTGCGTGTCGGTGCATGCATGTGTCTGTGTGTCGGCGTTTGCATGTGTGTCGGTGTTTGCATGTGTGTCGGTGTTTGCATGTGTGTTGGTGTTTGCATGTGTGTCGGTGTTTGCATGTGTGTCAGTGTGCGTGTGTGTGTCACTGTGTGTCAGTGTGTGTCAGTGTGCGTGTGTGTCTCGGTGTGTGCGTGTGTGTCAGTGCGTGTGTGTGTCTCGGTGTGCGTGTGTGTCAGTGTGCCTCAGTGTGCGTGTATGTGTCTCGGTGTGCGTGTGTGTCTCGGTGTGCGTGTGTCTCAATGTGCGTGTATGTGTCTCGGTATGTGTGTCAGTGTGCATGTGTGTCAGTGTGCATGTGTGTCAGTGTGCGTGTGTGTCTCGGTGTGCGTGTGTGTCTCGGTGTGCGTGTGTGTCTCGGTGTGCGTGTGTGTCTCGGTGTGCGTGTATGTGTCTCGGTGTGCGTGTGTGTGTCTCGGTGTGCGTGTGTGTCTCGGTGTGCGTGTGTGTCTCGGTGTGCGTGTATGTGTCTCGGTGTGCGTGTATGTGTCTCGGTGTGCGTGTGTCTCGGTGTGCGTGTGTCTCGGGGGCGTGTGTCTCAATGTGCGTGTGTGTGTCAGTGTGCGTGTGTGTGTCAGTGTGCGTGTATGTCTCAGTGTGCGTGTATGTGTCTCGGTGTGCGTGTATGTGTCTCGGTGTGCGTGTATGTGTCTCGGTGTGTGTGTGTCTCGGTGTGCGTGTGTGTGTCTCGGTGTGCGTGTGTCTCTCAATGTGCGTGGATGTGTCTCGGTGTGTGTGCATGTGTGTCTCAGTGTGCGTGTGTGTGTCTCAGTGTGCGTGTGTCTCAATGTGCGTGTGTGTCTTAGTGTGCGTGTGTGTCAGTGTGCGTGTGTGTCAGTGTGCGTGTGTGTCAGTGTGCGTGTGTGTCAGTGTGCCTGTGTCTGTGTGCGTGTGTGTCAGTGTGCGTGCGTGTGTCAGTGTGCGTGCGTGTGTCAGTGTGCGTGCGTGTGTCAGTGAGGAGCGGTGGTGGAGTGGTTAGCGCGCTGCGCTTGGAACCCAGCGACCCGAGTTCGATTCCCGCTCACGGCCAAGACCAGTGACAATTATCTGAACCGGTTTTGCCCTCCACCCCCCTGGGTCGACTCGGCCTCAAATAACTACCTGGTTATTTTATGGCCGGGCGTGGTGCTGGCCACCCATCCCCTCGTATTACCTTCTTAGGTGCTCGCTAAACAGCATTTGACCTAACCGTCTTGTTAAAGGCTATATATGGGAGATATTTGTCTGTGTTTGTGTATTAGTTTGTGCCTTCTATGCATGAATCTTTCTGCGTGTCAGTTGTACGGGCGAGTGTGCGTTCGTGGCTTTGTAGGGTACACAGCGAATCTTTGTGTGTGTCAATATATGTGTCACTCGGTATGTATGTCTGTAGGCACGTATATCAGTGCGAGTGGGTGCAGGTGTTAGTTTATATGTTGGTATACTGTTAGTTTATATGTTGGTATACTGTATGTGTGTGTGTCAGTGCGTGCATGTCTCTTGTGCGTCAGTGAATGTGTGTGCGTGTCTTACGTGTCGATGTGTGTCAATGCATGCCAAGTGTGTCCATTGTGTTCATGTATTTGTGTGTTCGTGTCTGGGTATCCATTGTGTGTCGATGGATGTTTGTTTCTCCAGCAGTCTACGTGGGGCTATACGGTGGATTATTGCCTTTGTTGGGTCCATTCAGGTTGGGGAGCGGTAGTGGAGCGGTTAGCGCGCCGTGCTACGAACCCGGCGATCCGAATTCGATTCGGTCTCACGGCCATCACCGGCGACGATGATCGACTCGGCCTCAAACGAGTACCTGGTGTGGTGTGTAGACGTCCTCCACGGGGGAGACAAAGGCGGCCGTGCGTGGTGCTGGCCACTCACCCCGTTCGTGTGCCGTGCCGACCTTCGCGAACAGCACGTCAAAGGCCGATCTGTTTGCACAGAGAGGCCAAGGGCTACGTGGATGGCCGAATAATGTTCTAGGTGAATGGTTTATGTGATTGACTATATGTGCTTGGTGATAATGAGTTGGGTGACTGTATAATTGCTTGAGTGGGTTTGGTTATGAGCTGGGTTACGGACTGGTTGACTGGCTAGATAACGGACTGGAGTGGCTAGATGACAACTGCGAGTTTATGGGCTGTGTTGTTACTCGGCTGGATGGCTGAGCAAATTGCCAGGTTTTACAGGTTGTGTGTCTGGTAACCGGCTGGATGACTAGATGCATTTAATAGGCTGCATGGTGTGCTGGTAGGTGGACCGCGTGTAAGTGGGTTATGGGACTGATTGTCTCTGCCAACAAGAACATTGGCGGGGTGGATGGGTGAATAATGGACTGCGTGACTGGTTGATGGACCTCGAGGCGGCATGATGGGCAAGGTGGCAGGGTGGTTTGGCTTGGTTTATGGGGCTGGGGAGTGGGGCGGCTAGCTCTCGGGTGTTATGTATTGGACTGGATGGATGGATAGGGTGGGTTCATCAGTGTGGTTGTTAATCTGGATGGCTTGGCTGAACGGTTGAGAGGGTGGCTGCTACTGGATTGGTTGCTGAAATGGGTGAACTGAATAGCAGTATGACTTGGCCGATTTGATTTTGCTCGTGAGCCTGGTGGCCTGCATATATGGGGTTGAATGGTTGCATAAAATGGTGGGTTGATGGACTAAGTGATTGCCAGATCAGCTGAGTGGCTGGACAGTGGGCTGGGTGACTGGTTAATGGGCTATCTGGATGGGTGACTGATGGTTTGAGTGGTCGGCTGATGGCCTGATCACCAACAAATTGGTTGAGTGGCTGTGTCAAGTGCCTTTGCTGTTAATTGACATGGCTGAATAGTGTGGGTTGGTTGTTGGCCTGTGTAGCTCTGTTATGGCTTTAGTGGAAGGATAGGGTGACTGGTTCGAGGTCGTGATTCAATTAAAGAAACACTATTGTTTTGTCTCAGTTTTGCCATGTCATTTGTGTTGTTCCACGTGTTTATATTATCTTGTTTGTACAGTTTCGTTCACTCTGAGCCTACATGTAACAGCATGCATGCTTTCACAGTAAATACATGTTGTGAGCATAACAATATTTAGTAAAATCTGTATCGGTCTATCGTTACAGGCCTACTGGAGAAGGGGTGGATGCCTTCACTCGATTGCCTGTTAATTTCAGCGGATGGCTGATGGGGTGGGTTGCTGTCAATGGGCTGGGTGGCTGGTGTAGGGTGCGTGGCTTTGATGAACTGGGGTTGTAGACTCTTGGGTTGGGTATAATTTGCAGGTGAGCCAAGTGGTCAGTTGATGAGCGAGTTTGAAGGTGAGCCAGGTTGCTGGGTTGCGTGGTTGGTAAGTGAACCGGGTGGTTGGTTGACGAGTTGGGTGGTTGGCAGGTAAGTTGAGTGGCTGGTTGACAGATGACCTGAGTGGTTGGTCAATGAGGAGTGGTTGGCAGGTGATCTGAGGGGGTTTGACAGTGGGCTATGCGGTTACATCGAGCTGCCTGGCTGGTCTTGTTGCTCATGTTTGTTTCTTGTGTGTGTGTTTTGTAAAGTCGCGTGCTTGGTTACATGGTATTCAGTATTTACCTGTGGGAGCATTTCACACCAAGCCTGGGTACGTGTCCCAGATGCGTGAACAGGAAAGAGTTGGCTCTTTTTTTTCCCACAATTAATAAACCGTCTTGTAGCCAGAGAATGTAAATAAATCGCCAACTTCCGGTGTGTGTCATACATATCGAGAATTGTATTTCCTGGCCCAGTGCCACCAGCTTCAGGATAGAGCTGTCAAATAAGCGATGGATTTTTTAAAATTAAATTCATAATACACTAATTTACAGTCTTACTGTAATTAGTGCAGGGCCTTTCCAACCTTAGGTGTGGCACATGACATATATGCGATGGCAGTTGGAATCATTGCTTGTACACATTGCAAGAGTGTTGTAATGCCACTATTTTGTTTGCATTTACAGCTCAATATCGGCGGCACCAGAAATACGGCACGTGGGGCTCTTTGTTATTCATTCCTTGCTTCCTTTCAAAACATAGGGGTGTTTGAACTGACGGCGATGCAAAAACATTGCACACTGACTTGTGTTTTCATAAGTTAAAGGCGTGCGTGCCGTCAATTCTGTTGACATAAAGGCGCTTTCACTATTGTAGTAATCTGCCACGGGGAATGCTGCTCCATCCATAAAGCAATATATAATGACTTATTTGGTGCTGTTGCATTGGCAGTGGTGCGCGAGCAAAAACAATTAGAATTGAAACGCACCCATCACCAACACTGCCTTAAGAGGAAAAAAATACATGAGGCAAAGTTTTGGGTAGTTGGCTCCCTTCTTCATAGCACATAATGCAATGCAGAAGGGCCAGTACCTGAAACGTCGGTGCTATGAAGTAGGGCCATTGCTGAAACATTGTTATTCTGTATTTTTTCTTTTAAGGCAGGGTCATTAATGAATATTTTTTTATTTCTTATGGATTGGTTTAATAGATAAGCACTGAAATAGTAATTACCTGTAGGCTTTGGTTGTTCAGAATTCTCGCCCTGAATAAATGTGGTTTTGGATAGTCTATGGCTTTCTATTGCATCAAAAACAGTACAGTCCAGTGAACATTTGTCGGAGAGCTGGAATGGAGAGCTATCTTGCAATGTTCGGTCATGATTCCTTCCTAAATAAAATGAACCGACGCTGACCGAGCAGTCATTCTAATGGCGATACCCCGTATAAAGAGTTTATTATAAATAATTTGTTGCAACATGCAAGAAAAATGGAAGAACCTATCCAAATGGGCAGTTTTCATTATTAATTGCGAAGCCCATTTAAATGTGCCTATCCGGATTTGGCAGCTGTCCACACTTTGTCGATAGTAGCTGCGCTACAATAAATGGAAATAGAAATGTTAATTAAATATATTACAATAGAATTTGCGTGAGCGCAGGGGGAGGGGGATGGGGGGGGAAATATACATTATTGTTTTAATATTGGCAAAATTACTTACCCTATATTTTCTACCCAGTGCTAGGGCTAAAAAAAATATATTTAGCCGTACGAACAAAATTAATAAAACATGGGAGATGGTCCATTCCATTGCTACACTGCCACGTCTCCCGGGAATATATCCTCTTCAGAAGTGCGCTCGTATCGTCTTTCCCGGAGCAGCCAATCTGCATGCCGGGGAGTGCCAAGACGGGGACCAACTTGGCGGACAGCAGGCGGATTGTTGTTGCCGCGCGGTCCGAGAGAACCCGTCCTGAGATCACAGATTGTTCCGGGGGCTTTGCCACGAGCGGCCTATTTATCAACTAGACGAAAAAAACCATGGGTTTCGTGAATTTTTTTTTGCATTTTTTGCCAAAATATTAGTAGTGTTATGATTGTGGGCCCATTGATATGCAGTATGAAACGTGCAGCCCTTTTTTGTTAATCCACTACTGGGAATGAAGGTCCTTCCTCCCATGCATTGTTGGTCGCTGGGGTTTGACCATACTTCATGCCAGCCAACCAGGAGCAGTTCAGATGTCGCTCGACAATGGTGTTCGTAAATAAAATAAGAGTGCAGCCATTTGTCAATTCACTGCTGGACGAAGACATCCGCACGCAATGTCTGGACTGGACATTGGGGTCGTTTGGCCATACTTCACCATTTTGGTCATTGCGGGTTGGTGGAGAGCGTTGGGGGCCCAGGAGCGGTTCACATATCAGCATCAATAATCGATGACATTTATGTAAATCAGAATGTCGTGGTTTTTTCTGCGTCGTAACCCTGTTCGAGTAATTGTGAGGGGTTCATTAATCCTGGAAATAGGTTGATTTTATTGTAGTAATCTCGTGAAAATATTGTACGTTTGCATGTAAATATTAAGGAGAACGTGTGGTGTTGTGTTTTTTTGCGTGTTTACATTCCTGTGAAACGTGCTGTGCATCCCTGCCCCTTTCACCGTGGAGGCAGTGAGATTTACAAAAATTCTCCCCAGCCTCTCTTTGCTCCAGTGGTGAAATGGGTCTCACACTTTCTCATCACGGTGAATGCTGGCAAGCAGAGGGAAAGATGGTGGGGCGGGGAGTGGAATCATGGGGCTTCATCCACCAGTAGACAGAACATGGCGATGTGGTGATGATGATAATTATTTTTTATTTACATGTCTCACTTGGTTCCCTATTTTTTTTATTGAACCCCCTGCTTCACATGTCGGTCATTTGGGTGAAACAATCCTCATGATTGAAACGGCATGGGGGGAAGACCTTCATCCAGCAGTGGATGGAAAATAAATGATGATTATTTGATGAATGTTTATTTGTTAACTTGGGAGTTTATGCTATTGTGTACATTTCCACGGTTGTGCTATATTGCTCTCCGATGTGTTTGCGGGTTGCAGCGCGTTTTTCAGCATGATGTTCGACGTTTCACACCGGTGTTGGGTACTTCTTCAGGAGCTAAATTCCGTTGATAAAGATGATGAATTCGGTTCCTGAAGATGCCCCCCCCATGCACGTGGAGCAAAAACGTCAGGCGCCACGCCGAACAGCATCTGGTACGACCCGAGAGCCCATTGGAAAAAAACGCAGGAGCTAAGGCGCTTGCTTTGTGCTTGCTAATGGCCGGTGCTTCTGTCTCCTCTGTGTCCACCCCGGTGGCTGCAGATGGACATCGACATGGACTACGAGCGTCCCAACGTGGAGACGATAAAGTGCGTCGTCGTTGGGGACAATGCGGTCGGGAAGACACGCCTCATCTGTGCGCGGGCCTGCAACGCGACGCTTACGCAGTACCAGCTGCTGGCCACCCATGTGCCCACCGTCTGGGCCATCGATCAATACCGCGTGTGCCAGGAGGTGAGTTGGCGCCAGCCGGCGATGTTTCACCAATGTGCCATGCGACACACCTTGCCAATTGTCGGCCATTGCTGAATTGGGCAGGCGTGGCAGAGAGATTTGGGGGGGGAGGTGGTGGGATGGGGGAGGGTACCGGGGGGGGGGGGGGGGTGAAGGGGGGGGATGAGGGATGCAGTGTGTGCGGTGTCAGTGTCTCGTCTTAATAAAAGTGGTGAGCAGAGGTGACCGGGTGGCTCGGAAGTCAGAATGCTCAGCTGGCACTGTATTGGATGTTGAGTTTTTTGCCATATTTCACCATGCCAGTCATTGCAGATAGGCGAATTGGCTAGCGGGTGCCATGGTCGGTTCGGATATCGCTCGCCACTGGCGTTAGCCAAGGCTGGGAATTGAACTCAGGCCACTGGGTTTCGAGCTCAATGCACAAAGCACGCCACTGCTGGTCCTCTCCAGTGCTCCTGTACTCGTTATAAAACACGGCTTGTTCTTGTATAACTTGCTGTGTTTTAGCTTCTCATAAGTGACTCTTGATAAATGATAAATGTCAATGCTCAAATTTGCTAAGGGGTTTATTTGGAACCTGTCTGGTGAGTGGGATGCGGAGTAACATGCACCGGCATACGCGCTTTGGTGTCTTGAAAAAGATATTAGTAAATAAAATTCAAAGTGTGCCACAATGTGCATTGATGCGCGCTTATTCACCCAGGTTTCTCACGCATTACGCGACGCACCGAGATGCCCAGCGTCGCCTGCGAGCCCGTTTTACTGGACATCTGTTAAAAAAAGAGCTACGTAGCTCATTGGATTTCTCCAGGATAAATAAATATATATTGTGTTTATGCTGAACTTCTTTCGCGCCGTACGTAGCCAACCGTGCCAATCGGAGGTGCGGGGGAAGTACAACAAACTAAATACAAAAAGCAGTTTTAAAGAAATGAGTCTTGATTTTAAAATGCAAAGCTCTCAAGTGGCTTCCTAATATCGGAAGGAAGAGCTTCCAGATGGCCGCCGGAGCGCATCCGAAAGTGTGCACAATGCAGTTGCCCCACTTTGTTCGACGGCTAGCCAAAAGCCACTGCGAGGATGACCAGAGTTCTGATTCCGTTTCGGATCTGCTCAAAACATACTTGCGACCGCTTGAATTGCTAACGTTCATTGCGGATGGTGAACTCGTGTGCCTTATTCCTTTGATCGGAAAAGGGATATCCCTTTGGCCCGTTTGCGACTGCAATTTTGCGTTCAGAAATACATTGCTCCCAAAGTATTAGGGCCAATGCCTGTCGTTTTAAATTTAGTTGGCCGGTGATGGGAGACCTGACAAAAGAAGGTAATTGCACCCCGGAGCGCCCGTTGTTGGTGTTAAATCCACAATGAGTGCAAGATTAAGTAGGATTTCTGTGCCGTGGAGCGGTTCTGAACGATGTGTGTGGGCAGCGCGCTAGTGGATGGGCACGGAGATGTGAAATGACACGGTACACATTGTTTAGCACAATTATGGCTCGCTGGTAATGATCGGAATTAAATTGAGACCTCTGTCTCGGAAGCTACTGCTGGAGACAACTGGAGCCCTGCTTTTTTTCCCACCGCTTTTAACGATTGCATTTTTAAAAATTGCGTCTCCCTTGACAAGCGTGTGAGAAAAATTATTTGACAGATCGCGTCGCAGGTAAAAAAATTCTAATAACGATTTTCTCGCATCCACCCCGGGATTGACGATTAAATCAAGTTAGTGCCGCTGCGCTGTTGTATTAATCATGGGCCCCCCCCTGTATTTCCCGCTGCCCCCCCCCCCCCCCCACCAATTATCCCACACTCCACCACCTACCTCATCTAGACCAGTAGAACATTTCAAACTGTGCCCCATACTTCGGTCGTTTAAAACCCTGTGATCGGCACGTACTCCTGCGTAGCTTTTGGTTGACCCCGCCACCTCATGAAGTTGTTGGCGTCGGCTCGTGGATGAAACGGGACACCGTGCCTGGACCCGCCGCGGCATTGGGAAAAGACGTCGAGGGTTGCCGCTTGTAATAAAAAACCCGAGCGCGCTTTGCCACTTGTGAAACTAGCGGTTCCGTTATGAGCTCTTATTGCAAAGCGTGGCGAGCGCTCTTGGGGAGGGAGGGGTAGGGCGGGAGGGGGGGAGTCATCTTAAATGTGTCGGCTCTGCCCTGCTCTCCCGCCGGGCCACAACTCCCGGCTCTACCAGGTGTTGGAGCGCTCGCGGGATGTGGTGGACGAGGTGAGCGTCTCTCTGCGCCTCTGGGACACGTTTGGAGACCACCACAAGGACCGGCGTTTCGCCTACAGCAGGTACGGCGATGCACGACGACGACGCAGGATGACACGACACAAGGCGCGTGACGTTCGCGCCGTGGTGCAGTGAAACCGCAGGAGTGAACGGCCGTAGGAACCCAAGAAAAGGCCACTGCATTGGCCAGGGTGGGCGAGCACACGTGCCAACTCAAACAAGAGCCCTAACTCTCGGCCGCTCGCTCACTGGCGATCGGCGGTGTCGTTGTTACTCTTCGTTATTGTTTCGTTGAACTTCACTCATTGATTCCTCCAACTCATAACGAGGACTCGCTCTACCAGTCTGACTGTATTGTGATCAACCAACATACTGGCAGGTGAAAGCCCTTTTCTTTTATGTTAAAACTTTGCTCGTGCGGGTTTGCTGCTGGTCTTTGGGCCTGTGCTCAGCAACTGTGTAAAAAACCAAGTAAAATAAGAAAAACAACGAGCCAATCAGACAATAGTACTCTCCTTCCCGCCTACCCCAATCCTTGACCCAAGCCTCTCACCCTTGGCATTCTGCCAGAACCTGGTTTCATTTTCGTTGGCTTTTTACTTACGGTGTTCACAGTGCATGTGTTGTGCCAAGCTCGGGCGCCACGGTGGTGAGATGTTAATTATCTCGCCTGGTTATACAGGAGGTCATGGATTCTATCCGACCCTGATGCCTGCTGTATGTTTGGAGTTTGCATGTCTCTCCCCATGGTCGCTTGGATTTTTCTCCGTCCGGTTTTTCCCTCCACATTTAGAAACATGATTTTAGAGTATTTGGCTGCTATAAATTTTGACGTGATAATCCACTTCGTTGAGCTATCATTTATGGCCAGGCCGCTTCTGAAAAAGAGCTATATGGCTCAGTGGACCTTACCTGGTAAAATACAAATATATTATAGTTTTTAGTTTAGTTTAAGCTGGCTCATTTCTATGAAGTGGTCACGATTTGCCTTAAACAAAAACATCTTTACAGTCGTCGCGTTTTGGCACTGGTCCATTGGAACGTTGAAGGCGTTTCGTTCAACATAAAATAAATGAGTGTGTCCTGTAACATAGGTGCCACTTCTAATTTGTTGTTGCCATGCTACTGAGCACCTCGTGAGCCGAGCCTTGCGATCGCGTTGTTCAATAGTTAATATCGCACGATCGTAACTAAAACCTTGCCTCCTGCCGGGATCCGTTTCGAGCTTCAAAGCGGTGTGCTTTTCCACAGGAGCTCTTTGACGCCATTGAATGTCAGCATTGACCTAACACTGCCAGAAACTCGCCTTTTGTAATCACAGTTCACGGGGCCGGAGCGGAAATCGGTACCATATAAGGTAGCGAAACTTTAGTTGTGTACCCATTTATTTACACGGCCATTAAGAAGAGCGAATTACTTGACACACCCCCCCCCCCCCACTCTTTTGACGTGGTTATCATGTAATTCACTATTGTTGGCTGCATAAGGAAATTGGAACGCCAAACATTTACGGCCACATCAGGTGGTTCCCGCAATCTGATCCGGGCTGATTGACGATAACGGCCTCTCAATGTTGACAATCTCAAAGCGGACATTGCCGCTTTGAGGCCTATCGGCGGTGACAGCTTTCGACGCTTGCAGCCGTGCTTCCAGCCACACGAGGCTAAAGGCAAGCGGGCAGCAGCACTTACCCGGGTTACCATTGGAAACGGCACATAAGCATCGTGGCAACCCGCCTCCCATCGCTATGGCGACTGTGCCGCTCGGCTAAGATGCTCCGCTTCGGTTGGGCGCCCGGATTGCGGGGAATTAAATTAATTGCAGATATCGCGTGGACGCGTTTGTATTTCATTGAAATCGGTGTGGATCACCTGACATCACGATAAAATAAAAACTGCTCGGCGCGGATTAGGCTGTTGTGGTGATTTGGACGTAATGCGGTGTGTTTTGTGTAATAGACGATAAAGCGTGAAAAAATAAATTCCCGACCAGTAACGCTCAATTTAATTAGTGGATTAGCGGAGCAGCATTGGGTCGGAGGCAGCGATTTGAATTTAGCGTTTGGCAATTGTGTGCAAATTATGCCACCGCCGGTGGAGAAAAAGATGCTGACTAAAAGGAAGCTTGGGTGTTCCGGTTGAGCAGCTCGGGGGGGAGGTGAAGCCAACTGCACGTTGCTGTGAGGATTGTCCATTTGACTGCTTAATCATTTACCAGTATGGCTCCCATCCCATCTGCCCGAGCACATTCTGACTTACGACATCGTGGCTTTATCGCATTGGCACCGTGTAATGGTTTTATGACTCGATACACCACCGCCCATGTCAATGCTGGTTCTGCGTGCGTGTGTGCGCGCGTACGTGCTCTTGCCAAAGGAGGTGGCGTGTTTATTTCTAGTAGCATTCCCCCCCTTATATTTTGTCATTTGCTGTACAAAAAAAGGAAGAAGGGCGTATCACCTAGGTAGCCAACGGTGGGCTGCTGTTGACTGTCCACGCTAGCTCACCCCTATATAAATCCCTGCACTCTTCATTGGGCGTGCCATTAATGCAGGTTTGATGCGTTTTGACCGGTGGCTGCTGCTATTATGGTAACAGTCAATGCAGATGCAGCGTCCGTCGACAAATGGGCTGCTTTTAACAATAATTACTGCCAAAACACACATTTAGCATCATCCCAGCCGATCCGGCTGAAACTGAAAAATTCCGAACTGGTTTTTGGCATTTCAATTTTTAGTGAGCTGTGTATGGATAAAAGCAATCTGCTCGCTCCTCGGTCTCTCTCCAGGCCGCCTCGGTCACGGTGGGGGGGGGGGGGGTGTTTGGCCATCCTTAACCGCTCTAGTCAGTGAGTCCGTCGCTCGCGTCCGTGCACTGTCATTGTGTCTCGCGGCCGCCCTGATGACGGCCAGGCGGAACTGGTCATCCGATGCCTTAACCAATCGTCTGCCAGCTGCGACTACCCGCGGTTTTCTCCGTGACAATTAAATGCTTTTCGTTGACGCGTCAAGAGCACGTCAAGGGGATGGCGATGAACGTCCTGCTCGGAGCGTTTTGGAGCCGACCATTATAACCGCGTGGGTAATTTATTTACGAACCGCTTGGCAGCCTCGATCTACGTCACGTGGGGGGGGGGGCATTGGATCACATTTTTTTCACTAAATGGAAACCATTTAAATGTATCGGTTGTGAATAACCGAGTGTCACTGGGATTGATGAATTACTCTCGTCGAATGTCTGGTTGCCGTGTTTGGATTTTTATTTATACTAAGGGAGGGCCTTCTGAAGATCTATACAACCGACAGATATTGGCTGGGAGAAGCCACGCGTGTTAGCGTGAGGAGTGCTATTGGTGCGTCGCTCAGTCCAGTTATTATTATTCCGCTGGTTCACCCAGGAAAGCCTCGCTGGGTCTCAAAGACTCTTTTTTTTTTTGTCAGGAGGGTTCTCACAAGTTTTCACAGAAAAGGGATGACGATGTTGTTGCTGCTGTGTCATCCCAATGCAGCGATTGACGAGGATATTAAAAAAAAATAGATTTAATGCATGGTACATTCCAATAATACACATACTGACCAGCATTACGGGTCATGCACGTCCCTAAGTACACGGAGGCGTATAGTTTGGATTTTACAGGGTTGGCTGTTCTTTTATTAAAATTAACGCAGCGTGGGAGGTGGGAAAAGATAAGTGGGGGGGGGGGGCTGTCATATAGAAGGGAAAGGAGGTGCGCACTTGCAGACTTTTTTTGCAATGGGACGTTTGGTCAATAGAAGTAACATTATCTTTTTTTTTGTTACGGGAGAAAACCGGGTAACTCGTGCAGGAAACTCATGCCGAACAATGGGGAAAAAAAAACATAAAAAAAACTCCACTCTCAGTAAGGCGGCCGAGTCGTCAGCAATAGGAACCCAGGCCCCCTTTTTTTGGCAGCAAGACACGTGTGTGTTACCGCTGTGACACCCGGCCAATGATGGGACCCCTCCCTAACGTCACCACAGCCACCGCGTTACCTGGAACATAGGGCGGTAAGTTTGCGGGGGTGGTGGGGGCACGGAGCGGCGGGGGGCGGTGGGGGGGGGGCAATGCCCCTTCCAAACTGGACATCTTTATTTTATTTTCAGGAGTTTACAATAAAGAAAAAAAATATTACATGCACCCGTGATTTTTAATGTGAGGGACCCAAGCGAACCCCTGCCCCCAAAAATAAAGAAGTCAAGCTCCGCCTATGGGCAGTATGCAGTTGGGTGCAGCGTGGGTTTTGAATGCGTAAACACGCCCTCGGATATCATTAGACGGCTGGATTACTCATGCGGCGGTGAGGGTTTCCACCGCATCAAATTCTTTGCACGCCACCCCTGCCCTGGAAACCCACGGATATATCTGGGGCAGCCTATGGGGGCTGGAATGAGCAAAACACACAATGCGTGTGGTTGTGTTTCCTGTACCACCCTTGTACCTGGTGAATCTCAACGTGTTTTGCGCTGCAGTTGGTAGGCTTTGCGCGTGTGTGTGTGCGCGTGTGTGTGCGCGCGTTGCGTGCACGTTATCCGGCAGTGTAGTGGTTGGCGCGCTGCGCTACGAATCCGGCGACCTGAGTTCGATTCCCGCTTACGGCCAACACCCGTGACGATTATTTGAACCGGCCCTGGCCTGCCCATAGGTTGACTCGGCCTCAAATGAGTACCTGGTGCTGTCTCATATCATAGCCACTAGAGAGACAAATCGGCCGGGCGTGGTGCTGGCCACACACCCCCTCGTGTGCCGTGCCGGCCTTCATAGGTGCTCGCTAACAGCACTTTCCCCAACAGTCTGTTAATAGGCTGTCTTTGTTTTGTGCACGTTGTTATCCGTTGCCCTGTAGACGGGAATGGCTGCCACCGTGCTGCTTACAATAACGCGGATGATTTTAATTCAATGACCCTTTAAGTACGGGAGTGGAACGCTTTGTGCCATCAAGCTTCGAGCCTGCGGTTCAGGCGAATGGCGGCGCATAATTGTACAGGAAGTGTGCCTCTGGGCACGAGTCATTATTGTGTGGGGCAGGTCTCTTTGTCTAGAGCACAAAGAGGTTAGAGTCAAGTGAATGTGAGCCAAGGTCTTTTGACGCGTCATGGAATATCACGTCCCTCTAAATTCTACTAGTGTTTGTGTAATTTGTTCCTTCTTGATTATTCCAATGCAGTACATGTCATTGAAAAGCCTACATTAGTTTTGTGCATTTTGTTGTTGTTGTTGGTTCTGGGACCGTCATTGTTATTGTTGTTTTGCTGCCTTGCCCAAGCTTGCATTTAGTGTCGAAAAATCGGCAGGAATTAATATATCAAATACTTTTACAATTTGTACTTATATACTTTATTTATTTTTAGTGACTTGCTTACTTTTAACACGTAGGCTTTCGCGACCAGTACTTTTTGGATTAGATCACGTTATTTATAAGTGTGTCGCAAGCCTCCACCACCCGACACGGCCAATCAGTAAAAAATGCGTCACGTTGACAAAAGACAAATAGACATTTTTTTTACTGCTTGGCCCTGTCGGGTGGTGGAGGGTTGCGACAAGGTTATGGAGGATTCTTCCTGTTTTGTTCTTAAATAGAGCAATAAAAATAAAGCTATAGATTGTGATTATTTTAATGGTCCTTGAAAGCCCTGCACAAACGTTACAACGTGAATGCTGGATAATAATAATGATTTCGGTTTCATATAGTGTCATTCACGCTAATTGCATCTCCCAACACTACAATAATTATATGCATAAATCACAGTAAGGGCTACATCGTATTTATAGCAAATTATTAAGTTCAGAAAATAACAATGAATAACCACATCTAGAAACGGTATATATATAAAAAAAGCATAAACAACAAAAAATGTATTGCAACAAAGGTATAGAAAATTATGCATGGTACAAAATTATGGGGCTCCATGGAGGCAAGATGTTAACTACCTCGCCTGGTATGCAGGAGGATGTGGGTTCAATCCCGACTTTGACGCCTGCTGTATATTTGGAATTTGCCTGTCCTCCCCGTGGTTGCGTGGATTTTTCTCCGTGTTCTCCGGTTTTCCCTCCAACTTTAGAAACGTGCGTTTTAGTTTATTTGCTATAAATTTCCACGCGATAAGCTACTTCTTTGAGCTGTCATTTGTGGCTAGGTTTCTTCTGAAAGAGTTGTACAGTATAGCTCGGCGGGCCTTACCTGGTAAAATAAATAATCGTGGAGTGTTTAGTTGAAACTCTAAGTTGTTCATGCCAGTGCGTACATTTTGAAGAGCAAAACAGTGGCTCTGCGACCTCTTCCTCTCTTTGTTTCCCCCCTTTACGCTTCCGTGTTTTTGTTGACTTCTCCTTTCCAGGTCGGACGTCGTGGTCCTGTGCTTTTCCATCGCGAACCCCAACTCCCTGCGCCACGTCAAGAGCATGTGGTACCACGAGATCAAGCACTTCTGCCCGCGTGCCCCCGTCATCTTGGTCGGCTGCCAGCTTGACCTGAGATACGCCGATCTGGACGCGGTGAACCGGGCGCGCCGACCGCTGGCAAAGTGCGTGCAGCCAGAGCCCCCGTTCCCCCTCGTCACCAGTGCTTGACGTGTCCTCTCGCTGATCCGGTTAAAAGGGGGCGGGGCGGGGGGAAGTGAGTCCTTTGCGAAGGCCAAGTGTGAAGGTCCGCTGCTTGATTTCGCGTGTGAGGCCCACCACTTCGAAAGCTGCCCGCAAATGAAAGATGGGCATCCCTCACTGTCAGAATATTACATCTTAGCCGGACTCTCGGGGAATATTTTTGACCTGGAAACGCTGTTTCTAACTGGCAACCTCTGGTTTGGGGGTCTGATGCACACGTACGGTTCAAAGACAAATATTCCATAAATATGTGTAGGGACTAGTAATAGGTTTTTACCCTTTTATCTGGCACCAAAACTGACACCTTTATACAAGGGATCATGTTTGCAATAACCACAACACAAGCAGTCAAAATGCAAACAAAAAGAGACAACTCTGATAATGATATGCACTGTCCTTGAAATTGTATGTATGGACTAGTTGGGGAAAGTGCTGACTAGTTGGGGCGTGCACTTATTAAGGCTGGCACGGCACACGAGGCTGAAACCACACCCGGCCACTTTTGTCTCCCTATTGCTGCGGCTTACACACCGTACCAGGTACTCTCTTCAGTCTGAGTTGGCATTCGGGAGGCCCAGGACCATATCAGATAATTCCCACTGATGTTAGCCATGGCCGGGAATTACATCCATTTCACTAGGTTCACAGCACAGTGCGCGAACTGCTGTACCAGTGATCTACAACTTGCATCTATATTACACACCCACACACAGACACGTAGACGATCAGATGATGAAACATAACCACACACGTGCCCAAAAAACAGGGTGCAATAACGACACAGACGTGAGCCAATGAGAACAACAGTCGCCATTCGCCACTGTTGGTGGCGACGTCATCAAAGCACTTGTGCCAGGCTCGATGCATTTTTAGTCCAGGTGAAGTGTCAAAGGCAGGAGGTTACAGGATAGACCCAGGTATGTCTGTATATATGTTGAACTACTTTCGCACCGTACGTAGCCAACCGTGCTAATCGGAGGTGCCGACTGTTATGAGTCAACTGACTTGGATGCTTGGCTACTGCTCCTCCTACCCACACAAAGATAAAGATCCCCCATATAGCCTTAACAGACTGTTGGGGCAAGTGCTGTTAGCGAGCACGCTGTACAGCAGGGAGTAGGTGGCTAGCACCACGCCCGGCTGCCTTTGTCTCCCCAGTGGCAATAATTTTACACAATACACTACGTACTCATGTGAGGCTGATTTGACCTAGGGGAGCCCAGGACCGGTACAGATATATAATCGACACTGGTGTTGCCCGTGAGTGGGAATCGAACTCAGGTCACCGGGTTTGTAGCGCAGCATGCTATTCACTACACTGCTGCTTCACACACACACACACACCTACCCACACACCCACACATTGACCACCACACACGCACGCAACAGGATCTCCATGACTCGCAGCGAGTGACTGTTTCACCTTCTCTTCCCCCCCCACCAACCCCCGCTCCCCCCCCCCCCCTTCCCCGCTGATTATCGCGCCGGTCAGGCCCATCAAAACGGGCGACATCCAGCCGCCCGAGAAGGGTCGCGAGGTGGCCAAGGAGCTGGGTATCCCGTACTACGAGACGAGCGTAGTGGCGCAGTTCGGCGTCAAGGACGTGTTCGACAACGCCATCCGTGCGGCGCTCATCGCGCGCCGCCACCTGCAGTTCTGGAAGTCGCACCTGAAGAAGGTGCAACGGCCGCTGCTGCAGGCGCCCTGCCTGCCGCCCAAGCCGCCGCCGCCGCTCGTGTGCGTGCCCGAGGCGCCGGGCTGCTACTGCCCCGCCGACGGGCCCTCCTACGCCGATGCGGGGCCCGCCGGCCTCCTGGCCAGCCCGCTTTGCGCGGACGTTGTCTTTGCGCTGGGCGGCGCCGAGAAGATCTATGCGCACAAGGTGGGTGGGTTACTCGAGCCGTTTCTGTGAAGGCGATTTTATAATTTTGTTCGCGAAAATAATCCGCCTGGGTAATCGCTTGAGGTGGAACATCTCGTTTGCAAGGGTGTTCCAGGGTGACAAGTAACACGTTCGTAGGAATATACTACCCAAGGATTGAACGGCGCTTATCATCGGGGGATATGTATGCCAGGTTTTCCGTGCGTGCCTCGCTGTTTGAAGCTTCGTTAATGAGAAAAATGAATTCAAAGTAACGACCAAGTGTGTTTTCACACCACTGTGGTGTTATGTCACTGGAATGCGAATTCAATACGTCGTGAATATGTCGGGGACGGCGATGCCACTGGTGCCCGACTGTGATTTGTACAATTTAGTTTTATTTTAATGAAGTTAAAATCTTGTGCGAGACGGCCGGGCGCGCACAGACAAGTACTAGCTAGAAGATAAGAGCTCTTTTGTTTTGGGTTACGTCTCCAAGTAAGTGCGCTCACGTCATGCCAACACAGCTCTTACGATTTTAAATAATGTGCGTGTTTTGACGAACTTCCGCATACTTGTAATGTGTGAAACATGTTTTTTTATTTTGTCTCGTGAAGTTAATTCTAAAGTTAATGATGATTGTGCAGTGTTTGTTTTAGTCCTCTTTCATATGGTGCATTGATACACGGTTATTGCACCGTCAGTGATGATGCTTTGAAGATAATCGTAAAACTGTTATAAATATTAGTGCGTAACAAAAGGACATTGATGAATCGAGGTGTGGTTTTACAATTTATTTTTTATATATATGAGGGAAAGTGGAAAAAGTAACAAAAATTCTTCCTGGCAGTTTGCACAATCATAGTCCGTTGGGCCAGAGCAGAAATTGGTCCCACCTAAAGTAGCCGAACTTGAGTTGTACCGATTTATTTACATGGCCAATACGAGTGGGTTATTTAATAACCGACCCATTTAATAATAATAATAATACTTTCATTTTATATATCGTCATTCATGCTATTAGCATGAATGACTCCTGGCCGTTGCTGCTGTCACTGCTCGGCAGAATTTCCAGTGACCTTTCCAATTTACATTTTATGCGTGCTGCACGTTTGCATGTGTGTATGTGTGCGTGTTTGTCCCACATATTATTATTCCGACAATGTCTTATAGAGCTTTGATTTCGTCTTAAACTTCTTGTTGGTTAAAACGAAACAAAACAGGTGTACCTTGCCACCTCCTCGCCAAAGTTTTGCGACCTCTTCACCATGGATTGGGATCAAATGGACGAGCCTGCGTCCTCGGGTGATCCCATTGGTGGAGAGGGCGTGGCTTGGGATGTTGCAGGTTGCGACCCCCGGAGATTAGAGATCGGCGGCACCCAACGGAAGAAGGAGCTGGTGAAGCGTGCCATTAGCTTGGACATCGACGAGGATGTCACCCAGGATGGCCACAGGCTGTGCGTCGCCGGGCGAGGTAAGCAATCAAAAAAAGGTTACAAAAAGTAAAATAAATAAATTGCGCCTCCCCGCCGTGGCTTATCGCGAACGGAAATGACCGATTTAAACGCGTCGGCGGAGCTGTGCAACACGACTGCGAAAAAAAGACCCCACGGCGGTGGGCCTCCCCCCCCCCCCCCCCCCTCTTTAACGTACGTTTTCTTTCGTGCCTCTGCCCTCTCGCGGTTCCGCCTGACCGACAGCGCGGGCCACCCTGCGCACGTCGAAAAGCGACGGCACGCTGAAGCTAAGCGGCTCGGCGGCAGGCCTGGGCGGGGGTCACGCGGCGCGCGACGGCGAAGGCGGCGCGCCGTTCCTGGCAGGGGGCGGCGACGGCTGCGACCTGGCCGGCGGTCGCTCCCTGGCGGAGTGGGGCCGAGGCTTCCTCAGCGTCCACGTGCAGCTCATGGACGACCCCCAGCACGTCGTGCCCGCACGGTCAGTGGCGGAGATGGCGGAACGCAAATCGTTGCGAAGGGAAGTCGCGTGGCGGCTTTGTTAGACTGTCTGCGGGGACGATGGCCTCTCCATAGCCGTGGCAGTCGTGGCTGTTTGTTTTGCCAATGCCGTCAACGGGTGCTTGAATAGGGTACCCAGTGAGAAGACACACACACACACACACGTGGAGGGGTAAATATAGTTCTCAGCAGATGGATTAAATAATTTATGATGCACCAACTTACATGCTAAGCCTGCAAACACCGGGAAGTCTTTCATCAGAGTTGTGAGCAGGCGTTTTTAAAGCCTGCTTAGTTCACAGTGACTTGGGCCCGGACTATACACGGTGATTGTGCCATAACGTCAATTTCTCACCTGCTCCGTGTCTCCCACCGGTCTCCCATTGCGCGCGTAGGCCCATGACGGTGGTGACCCTCGACCCGTTGCTGGTGCAGCCGGGTCCCTTCCTCGCCGTGCTCCGCTACCTCTACACCGGCCGGCTCGATGTTCCCGAGAGCGGCGGGCTGGGATTCTGTGGATTTGGCAGTGGCGGCAGCGGCAGCGGCGGCGTTTGTGGCGGCGGCGGCAGCTGCGGTGGTGGCGGAGGAGGAGGAGGCGGTGGCGCAACGGTCGTGGGCACGAGGCGTGGAGACAACCTGCTGCAGATCGCCACCATCGCCGAGCTGCTGGAGGTGTTCGACCTGCGCATGATGGTAGCCAACCTGCTCAACGATGAGGGCTTCATGAACCAGGAGATCACCAAGGCCTTCCACCTGCGCCGCTCGAACCGCGTCAAGGAGTGCCTCGCCAAAGGAACCTTCTCGGGTGAGTGCGGTCTTCGTGGCTGTTTGTTTGCTCCACCATGGGGAATCCACGCCAGGCGGTGGGGGAAACTGTTTCCTAACCGAAGGCCAAATAACATTTTCAAAAACAAAGTGACACGCACCTCACCGATGTCCAATAATGATCAAATAAATAACGTGTCTACTGGCTGAACACATGGTGTCCCCTTGCAGTGACATAAATGACCGGGCGTGCTAATTATAAACTGTGTTGCCCAGTTGAAAATCTTCTACTCAAGCACACGTCGATCAGTGCAGTGAAGATGTTTTCGGTGATGGATAACGCTCGTTTTCTCGTCAAGGAGCATAAACCATCACGCAAACTACGGTCATCCTCGCAGCGGCTATTGGCTAGCCATCGAACAAAGACGGTTACCGCATCGCGTGCTTTCAGATGCGCTTCTGCGGCCATCTGGAACACTCTTCTTCCCAATGTTAGGAAGCCACTGGAGCTACGCACTATTAAATCTAGATTGAAAACTAATTTCTTTAAAACTGCTTTCTGTGTTTAGAATATTGTCCTTCCCCCGCACCTCCGATTAGCACGGTTTAGCTACGTATGGTGAAAAATGATTACGTACATACGTTTACGGGTCTCTTCGAAGCGACAGGCCTCATGTGGCCACTGAATTATGAAAACGGTTGCGGCTTTTTCACTAAGGCCGCGTGTCCGGCAGGAGGTGTAGCGCGCGGGAATTGCGGGGCGGTAGCCTTTCACGGCTTGCGTCGGAAAACTCGCTCTGCGTTACTTCATCAAAAGTCGAAGCGATTTAAAAACCTGCCCGAAAAACACACCCAAACACGTGTGGAGCGTGACCCCCCGTGGGGAAGGGGAAGTGGAGGTTACGGTGGCGGCGCTGTTTTTTTCCACGGGTCTCTGGTCAGCTTCAGGGGTCGTTGCGCTCGTGTGCGTCCGTGCGGCGTGTTTGCGTTGCGAGCGCGTAAACAACACTTTCATGGATAATGACGTGCGCCATCCGCCACGGTGCGCCGCAGCCGCCACTGAGCCTGCGGGTGTGCTCACGTGACACGACCTCCCTGGCGGTCTGTTTACACGAGCAGATGTCATTATCGCACTGCAGGGGTGGGGGGAAGCTTTACCTTGCTGGGACTTTCAAATACCTCTGGTGGGTCACTCGGTACCTGATACACGCGTGCGCGCACACCTTTATCGAAAAATGTATAGGTTTTTAAAGCAAAAGAGAAAAATAAGGCAAATTTTAAACGCACTGAATGCGATTCCTGCACGCACCCCGGTACGCATGTACACCAACACACGGTGCAGTCTGCATGATCACGACATAATCGTTAGCAACGTTGTGGAGAATATAAGTACAAAATAAAGAAGCGCAATAATATATTCTCCATATATCTCATGTGATCACCGATCATCGAACTGACTGCATGTTGTTCGAGTATTAAAGAGGCCCTTACATCAACAGCACATTGATTCCACGTTAAAAATAATCCCCTCCAGCAGCTTATTAGTGCAGCTGAAATGCTTGCGTTGATGATTAAAAGTTGTTTCGGGCTCATTTTTGAAGCGGCTTATTAGGCGTCACGTGGCTGCTGCCCTTGCGAAACCGAAGTCAGTCACGGGAGCTATCTGGCACTCGGCTCGTAGGTTTGCCTGGCCCGACCCGTAATCCGTTATCGGTCTTCTCCCTTGTGCCATCGTGCAAGATGTGGCGTTCCGTTCGGATGACGGGGAGGTGTCGGCCCACCGTCCCCTCCTCATCTGCAGCTGCGACTGGATGGCGGCGATGTTTGGCGGCGCGTTTGTCGAGAGCTTCAGCCCCATGGTGAGTCTTTTCCCGGTCGCGTCTTATTTTCCTCGACGTTTGTCGCCACGGGCGAATTTTTTTTTTTTTAAAACGAAACCTGCCAGGTGTGTCTTAGAAACATTTAAGGGCGAGCGCGCTGCGTGGGTGGGCACAGTCTGTGCACTGCGATGCCCTCGTGAAAAATTATACCAGAATTTATTTTCAAAATAACACCGTGGGGCTTTTTTTTGGCATTTCTGCCGACTCGACAGGTAAAATTTTCAACGCGGCCCATAAAATGTTACCGATCGTCGGGCCGCGGGTCGTACTGCCTCGCCAGGCAAATGGCACGTCCCAATTTAGTTTGGATGCCAAGAGAGCGCATTGCTGCAGAGAGGGTGCTTACGGGCACGGTTAAAGCTTCGGGCAAGGCCCGCAAAGGTTCGGCAGGGGATTACAACAACAGGGGGCCCGTTGTCACTCTGCGGCATATTTAATGCGGTTAAACGCTGAATCTGGACAACAAACAAAATGTATGCCGTGCCCGTACAAGCAAGAGTTTCGCTCGAGTCAGCGGCTCGGAATGACTCGTGACAGCATTTGCTGTTCGACCAATAAAGCGGACACTCATATGGGAAATAAAGGGAAATCCCAGCGCAAGTCTTAACTCGTTGGCCTGCTGAAAAAGCCGACCTGTCCACTTAAGATGAGCACTTGGGAAATGTGCTTGCCGGTCAATAGCTCGTTGCCTTCCCAAAAACGTGCCCCTTAATAAAAAAATAAAAAAGGCTGACTGGCGCTAATCGATACCTGCCGAACATCCGCTCGGTAATACGTTACAGACGTACATTAATTATAGCAGCTATGTGTTTTCGAAGCTTGCAACGTTTCATTTTCATTATCTGCTCGTCCTGTGTTCATTTATTATCTATAAAAACTTTCGTGATTTATTTAACTTCATGAAATGCTTGATATTATTAAATACAGACAGTCCCCGGTTTACGGAAGGGTTAGGTTCTTGATAACGATCCTTAACCCGAATTTTCCGTATGTCAGAAACTGAACAATTTCCCCCCCCAAAATCGACGATAAAATCCCATAGCCGGAAATACTTGTGCCTCCCCTACCAGATTACTCATTACTTTTCTCTCAGTATTGTATCGCACTGTCGTCCGTTTTCTATCGCTGCCTGTGTCGTATTGCTATACATGCGTGCTCTGCACTTCCTACGATTCATTCCATCGAATATCTACGCTCACACTACCCATAATTAAACGAATGGAAAATATACTGTATCCAATTGTTTATGAATACCATGAAACATTTTAATATGAATTGCTAACAGAAAGGCGTCACTTCCGAATGTTCGTTTAGCATGCATTAGGCTAGGCCTTTGGCTGTGACCATAAGCAATCGAAATGTAATTGTGTTAAATAAAGTACATACGGTATATAACTCATGTAATAAACTTAAAGTGAAGACAACTAGCAATATAAACATGGGGGGGGGGGGAAGAAAGTTCTAAGCATAGAAACAAACAAGTACGTAACGCTACAAAAGGAAAAGCATTACGTCACGCTACAAAATATTCCATTTACCTTAATCCTGGTGAAGCTGGCTCGGTGAAGGTGGCGTTTTTGTGGCGCGAGAGGCGCCTTAAGTCTCGCTCCGCGGTATTCATCCGCAACCTCACCGCGTTGCAGTACTTGCGCTTGCGTAACTGCGCACAAAATTGTCCGTGTATTGTTTTTTTTACATGATTTATGGGAGCATTTACGTAAAGTCGGATTTCCGTAAGTCGGGTCTTCCACAATCCGGGGATTTACTGTACAGGAGTCCCTTGCGTAACGCAACTCCCCCCCCCCCCTCCATAGTGCAAATTCGCAGTTATGCGATTCGCATTTTGGGGACATATTTCACATTTCCGCAATGCGTTTCACAATTACGTGCTCAAGAGAATACCCCCAAAAAATAGTTCAACAATGAGTTCCAAAAAAAATATTATTTGACATTTGAAAAAAAAAAAAATCTGCTGGCGTCACCGCGTTATGGCAATGCCCAGTGTCACGGACTGTACGTGGCCAATCGTGCAGGGAAGGACAACAAATTTAACACGAAAAATTTGCGATCTAGAATTGAAAGTGCATCGATCCAGTGGCTTCCTAATATCGGAAAGAAAAGCGTTCCGGACGGCCGCAGAAGCGTATGTGAAAGCGCGCGATGCGGTGCCCATCTTTGTACGATGGCCCAGCCAAAAGCTGCTGCGAGGACGACCGGAGTTTGCGTGATGGTTTATTCTCCTTGACGAGCTCAGTGAGGTTTGCATTGTGCTGCTGCTGCTGCTGTAAGCAGCCCACGGTAGCGTTCAAAAATACCCTGAAGTTACTCCTTATTAAGTAATTTTTGTCGTGTTAATGATATCATTATTAAGTACAACATTTATGCGTATTTCGTCGATCCAGCGTTCAAGTAGTGACATTAAGTGATACTTAATTTTTTCTTCGGTAAAGCCACCCCCCTTATATACCCACGTGCCTATGGGAAAATAGGCTTCGTACAGCGCGATTCGACTTGCAGCGCTGTTTTTTCAGGAACGCATGTCGCGCGTTGTGCGAGGGGGGATGCCTGTATTCCGTTCTGGGTTGAATCGATCGTTTACCTGCTCGTGTAAACCCAGGTACGGGCGGGTTGTGTGGCACATTTTCACTGGTTCTTTGTCAGGCTTTGTGTGCGCGCGTGTGTGTGTTTTATGTTGAGACACATCGGGCGACTTTAGTCACAGCCACTGCACGGTCAGCTGTTTAAACAAAACAACACACACGCGGGACAAATAAGGTCAAACTGAAATCACCAAGTTGGCAAAAATTCGCGCACTATAATTACTTTTAGGGTGTTTTCAAGTTGTTTGTTGACTCAACCCATTGGAACTCATTAACCATACCCTTGTTTTTCTCCGCGCTTACATAACTGTTTAGGTCACCGAAAACTACAGCAAATACACACAAGCAAGCACAAATGTTTATTGAGAAAATAGTTTTGTAGTAATTCCGTAGTTTCACATTCGTCGCGAGGTTTTCATAACGTAACCAACCTAGTGTGAGAAAGTGCTGGGAAACTGCCTCGATCAATCATTGTCCTCTCGTTTCTTGGCATTGGCTATTAATGCATTTGCAACAACAACAAAATTAAATAAAGAATGCCAGTGTGTTGTATAAGAGAGCGAGATGCCAGTTTGTGAGTACATTGCAGCGCGTTGTACAAGAGAGATATGCCGGCGTGTTCCGTCGTGCGTCGCATCTCTGCTGCACAAACGGTGTGCGAGACGGCGATGTTTGGCTTCTCCTTGAACCCGTTGGGTTTACTGCGCTGATTGCCGCCCTTGATGCTACCCCGGACCCGTGGGCAGCGCCCAGGGAAGGGGCGCTCTATGGCCCCGATTCGCGTTGCGCCGTGTTTTGTAAACAAACGGGGAGGGAGGACGCGCCAGCGACGACCCAGCTTGCGCCGCCGCCGCGACCTTTACCACCCCGCCAGTCGTTCATGCGTGGCATGAGCAGTTAAACATCCATGACGTGACGGTGGGGGGGGGAGTGGTGACACGTGAGTGGCTGCACGTCCGTGCCATCGGGCCCGTGCGCCACGAGAAGCGTCCGTGCCGTGGTAAAGCCGTTGGAGGCAATTTGGACCTCGTGCCGTCGTCGTTGGCGGAGGAAATGGCTCTGTGCCGTGTACAGACTTTCATGAAGCGTCAACTTCCCGGCGCGCTGCCATGGGGGACGGGCTTGTTTGGAAAGGCGAAAACATGGGTGGAAATTCCATGTTCTTGTCACAGGGACCTGTCTATTTGCAGGACTGCCACTGTTTACTCACACCGAGCGGTGATGATCGTATGCCCACTGTTTACTTTCCACACAGTTTTTGGTCGCGGCGGTAGGGGATGATGATGATGATGATAACGGTGATTGTTCATGGTTTTGATGGTGGTGGTCATGATGAGCACGACAATGATGGTCATGATGATGACGATAATAACGATCACATGGTGGTGGTGATGAATGCCGGCAGAGACAACCCCGGCTGGGATTCGAGCTCGTCACCTCGCATCTCGAGGCTTTCTTCGGGAATCCGGGTTGCATGGTAGCAGCAGTCCTGTGCGAGCCGTTCAACTCTTTTTTTCTTATCAATCTTCCCGCGTGGAAGGTCAGATGACACCGGCGAACTCTGGTGCCGTGGTTGCCGTGTGTAAGGTCGGAAAAAGCCGGTTCAACACTGCTTTGGTTGCTGTACGGGCGGTCAGCGCAAGCCGGCTAACTCTGGCGCTGCGGTTGCTGTGCCGTGCGGTAGGTGGTCTTCCCGGGGACGAGCCGGGCGTGCATGAAGGTGGTGCTCGAGTTCCTCTACACAAACCAGATCTCGCCACCGGCCGACCTCAACCCCATGGAGCTCATCGCTCTGGCAAACCGCCTCTGTCTGCCCCGCCTCATCAGCCTTACAGGTGAGCGGCATTGGATGCGCACGGCTCCTCCTCATCCAACAGTGGATTGGCAAAAGGGGTGTCCATGCACCGTTTGCGAGTCGAAATCTCAATGGGGGTGTTGGGTGTTTTGAGAGTTGCGCGAGTGTGTTGGTCAAGTGGCTGTTGCAGAGTGTACCCGCTGCGGTGTGTAAACATGGCCACTGGGCCATGTTTACACACCTTTCCCTCGTGTACCGTGCCGGCCTTCATAGGTGCTCGCTAACAGCACTTTCCCCAACAGTCTGTTTAACGCTTTACCGGAAATGATCAGTCTTATGTCATATCAGTTTACATCTCATCATTTTCACATCGTTGGCAAATAGGGGATATTATTCTCAGTTTAAGTCGTCCATCAGTTTTACGTCGTTATTATTATCACTTGTAAGTGGCTCGGCCACGTCACGCGATCTCCGTAACTACTTTGAGCCGCTGCGTCATTTGTTGTTGTCATTCGCCCATGAATGCCTCCACCACTCGTCCTCTCCACCACCTCAGCTCACTCAAGCCACCATCGTTCCCAATGTAAATGTGAGCCCAATATACCCTATGTAAATATTCATGTACCTATGAAACTATAAATACCTATGATGTATCTTATTTTATTGTTTTATGTAATGTATAATTTGTATTTGTGTAAATATATATCGTACTATCATGGTACCTTTTTTGCCAGTATTTACTACTATAATGAGCCAAGAATGTCTGTGTCCCACGGCGTGACGTGACTCCACGTCGGCCAGCCCCCCTCATTAATCATAAGGTGACGTCCTCCAAATGGACCCCCCACCGCCATTCATAATAATTAGCGGGTGACGTCACTCCACGTGGTGGTGCGAGGTGCCTCCTCCCCCCTCCTCGGCGTCAACTCACAGCCCTCACTACAAAGGCAGAACCCTCACGTCATGTGATCTCCGTAAAGCTGCTGAGACATCAAAGTAAAAAGGACGTCATGATGAACAAGGGATTATAACCTTTTAATGAAATAGGTCTGTCACCGCGCCCTTACAAACTGCACACGAATGGATGCAATGACTATAGCACGTCGCAGGGCTGATTTTCGCTTGCAAGTTTCAGATTTACTGAAACACACCTTGGACGGGCAAAAGGCTAGTTAAAGAATGAAAACTAAAAAAATATATTGTTCTTACTTTCCTCTTATTTTGTGTAATTCTTCCCCATTAAATTGTATAATTTGTGAAATATTAAGACTTTACACGTGGAGTATTGAAACGCTGGAACGTTTTTTCTGTACTTTCGTGAATTTGCAAGGGAAATAGTTAATCAGTTAACGTCGAATCGGTTTAAGTCGTGTTTTCTGGGAACGTGACCCCGACTTAAACTGATCATTCCCAGTCGGGGAGATTTTTGTTTTTGTTTGTTGCTCGTGCAGTGTTGGAGGGGCTACAGGATGACGCGCTTGCTTCACAGCAGCAGCAGCTGCATTGCAGTAGAGACTTGGAACGTAGTCGCTGTGACACAGTGTAATTAAAAATTATGTTGTGAAAACTGCTAACTCTCAGTGGGTGCGCACTTGTTCAACTTTAGCACTCTGCGGTGCCCAATGAAGACACATTAATGTAACGTCGTTTTGTTAAACGCTCCTGTTGTCTCCACCAGTTACTTTTGAATCCCCCCCCCCCAATAATATAGCATCGTACACTTTCATTAATTATAATCGTAAATCTCGCCTGATTATTTTATCACCTTCGCCAAATTTGTAACCGTGGACGTTGCGTGCAGAGAAGCGATTCGATGGCGTCTGGGAAGCACCAGATGGATTCATTTTTTCCTGGATTTTTCAGTTTCTTCCTGGATTTTTCTGTTGCGCGTAGTCACTTTAAGATGTTTCTTGTTCATGTTCTTGTTTGTTGCGGTTGCACCCGAGTCAAGAGCCGCATGGCTCACAGGGCTATACCTAATAAATGAAACTGAATTTTGTACCTCCTACAAAGGCGTGTGTGTGTGTGTGTGGGGCAATGATCGGTGATGCAAGTGATGGCTTGCACTTCACTTAGACCCATGGACTCCGAAAGAGACCCAAAGACTAGCATAGAGACCTTTGCTATTCAACACCATTGTGATGTGAGCTCCAAGTGCATTTGTTCAACTAGGTGAGAACTCAGAGGCCAGAATAGTCTCATTTGCAAGGGTGATCTGGGTCGTGATGGATGCCAATTCACTGCAGCGATGGATGACTCCTTGCTTCCCCCATCTGTGGAGGAGGTAACCACCCTCCCCCTCCCCCCCAATGCGTTGTCCTAATAACCCCTTTAAGTTCAGCTCAGTGGCTTGAAAACAATGTTTTACTTTAGCATTTTCACAAACCACAACTCGCGCTGCCTCTGTGTCGCCATCCTCCCCCTCCACACAACAGAGCAGCACGCGGTTCAGCGGCTGACGGAGAACCTGCAGAGAGGTGTGGACATCGACGAGGAGGCGATATGCTATCTTGAGCAAGCGCAGGTGAGCCTGTTGCCTATTCCGAAACTTGATGTCACTTTCATTTTTAAAGCTACGTTTGTCAAAATGAAACTTGGTCGATTTAGATGTTGCTGTTTTTTCAGTTCGCTTGTCTTGTCCCCGTTTGAATCTCGTCAACGTAAAACAAAAATTCAACGGGTGCCTGTGCGTGCCAGCGAACGCCAGCCCCCTTTACCCCCTTTCCTCGCGCTTGCGTAATCTCCTGGAGCGGGCTAATTTGTAGAGCTCGCAGTTTATCCTGGCTAATTTTCATTCTGGATAATTGAATAAATAAGTAAGCTGTGTGTACGCGTTGCCTACACTGTCACGTCGCGCACGGTAAGCGGTTTAGCAGCGGCACGGCTTTACGTAACGTCTGCTATTTATGAATGAGCGCTTATTTTTACAATAATCCCGGCAAAGCCCGCTATCCAAAAATCCAACACCAGGCCACTGCGGTAATTCCCATTAGCCCCCAGGGTGCTCTGTTCCTCGATGCTAGGGGTGCTACTTAGCAGTGGTTTGTTAAACGACCCGGAGGCGCTTAGGCAAAATGCGTGGCACAGATGGCATTCCTTCCTGGAGTGTTGTCTGTGGCCACCCATGTGTTACTGCTCAGGGCTTTTGCTGCTGCCGCCGCCGCCGCCGCCGATGATGATAATGATGACGATGCCTTGACGGGACTTGTGCTCGGAATTATTTGCCGAGCCAGGCAGGTTGTTACCGTTTCACGAGGCTGTGATGGATAAATAAATAATGACGACACACTGGCAACAATGGAAATCAATGTGCAAAAGAAAAATGTTTATTTAACTTATTACGAACTTTTTTTTTATTTAAAGCTTTCGTGACTGCAGGGATTCATATTCTTGGTTCTTTCGGTAAAGTCACCACGTAGAAGGGAAACAATAAAATAATAAAAATATAAAACAATAAAATTCTCACGACGTTTCAACTGCAACACATGCAATCATCATCAGGTGTGAAAACCACAGCAGGAAAATTTGAAAAAAGTGGCCATTTTTTTCTCACAGGCAAGTGGCCACTTTTTTCAAATTTTCTTGCTGTGGTTTTCACACCTGATGATGATTGCTTGTGTTGCAGTCGAAACGTCGTGAGAATTGTATTGTTTTATATTTTTATTATTTTATTGTTTCCCTTCTACGTGGTGACTTTACCGAAAGAACCAAGAATATTATTACGAACTGTCATTGTAAATAATAGAGCCTTTGGACTGATGTTACGCGCAGGTTTGGTCATATAATAATGATACTGCAGAATGTGTATAACTGCGATAATATGACTACCAATATTGGCAATGGATTCCTCCGGCTGCTTGCCATGTGCTTGAATACTAATACACGGACATGTGCCTTTTTTATTAGCTTTCGTAATATTACATTTTTAAAACGTAGATAAGTAACTTGGCTCAAGAGAGATGTGGGCTAATCGGTGGTGCAGTGGTTTTGGCGCCTTGACCTATTAATTCGGAGATTGATTTCCCAGGCACGGCTTGCATCGGTGGCGAGCAATATCCCAAACGGGTCCTGGGCGCTCATTTTACCAACCCGCACGAACCAGTGTGGTGAAAATATGGTGACCGCGTGGTGTGTGGAGGCCTTCCTCCAACAGTGGATTAATAAAGGCCTGTAAATTGTTATTTCATTTAAATGTAAACCATTATTGGCTTCTCGACACAAATGGAATCCCATCGGGTGACCCCGGACGCCATCGGATGCCTTTGCAATCTCAACAAATACGGTTACAAATATGTCTGTTGCTTTTAAAATGGATACGGAGGCGATGGATGTCTGGCTGTGGCTTCCCATCACGGTGCAGCAGCCATGCGGCACGCTTGATTGTGGGCCCCACCCCCACCCCTATTCCGTTCGCCTGGGCAGTTTCACAACGCCAAGCAGCTGGCTGCGTGGTGCCAGCACCACATCTGTACCAACTACAACAGCGTGTGTCGCAAGTTCCCCAAGGAGATGCGGGCCATGGCAGCAGGTATCACACACAAAGACAAATGCAAAGATACCCCCCCCCCCATATAGCCTTACACTTGTGGGGAAAGTGCTGTTAGCGAGCACCAAATGAAGACGGCATGGCACACGAGGAGGTGGGTAGCTACCACCACGCCCTGCAAAGGTGGAATGGGACCAGTGAACACACGCTGAAGCGTATATACTTACAGACACACTTACACACACACACTTACACACACACACACTTACACACACACACTTACACACACACTTATAGACAAGACAAAGATTCCCCCATAGAGCCTTAACAAACTGTTGGGCAAGTGTTGTTAGCGAGCAGCACCTACGAAGGCTGATGAGGCACATGAGAGGCCTTTGTCTCCTCAGTGGCGATGTTTACACATCGCACCAGGTACTCATTTGAGGATGATGAGTCGACCTCGGGCAAGCCCATGGCCAGTTCAGATAATTATCGTTCGTCACTTGTGTTGGCTATAAGCAGGAATTGAACTCTGGATTGCCGGAATTCGTAGCGCAGTGTGCTCACCACTGCACTACCGCTCTGCACATGCGCACACATGCACGCACGCGCGCACAGCATGGCAGTCACCCACTAATTTTTATTCTGCGCCCTCAATAATTAATATGTTCTAACAGAACGTGCTAAAGTAGCCCCAGAAAAATTTAATGTTTGCTTGCATGCGTGTGGGGTGCGGTAGCATGGCGGTTAACGCGCTGCGCTATGAACCTGGCTACCCGGGTTCGATTCCCGCTCACGACCTACACCAGTGACGATTATCTGAACCGGTTCTGGGCCTCCCCTAGGTCGAATCGGCCTCAAATTAGTACCTGGTGCGATGTGTAAACATCGTCACTAGGGAGACAAAGTCGACTGGGCGTGGTGCTGGCCACCCACCCCCTCGTGTGCCGTGTCGGCCTTTATAGGTGCTCCCTAACAGCACTTGCCCCTACAGTCTGTTAAGGCTACACGTGGGATCTTTGTCTTTATGTGCGTGCGTGCGTGTATGAGCGGGTGCGTGCTCTGCACACTCTGACCTCGGGTGGGCGGGCTCGGCCTGACCGTGGCGTCGGGCTGAAGGGACCGGCTGCGATCGATGCGCTGCACATTGGTCGCTGTACGACCTCGTGCACTGTATGATGTCGTGGATGTGTGCACGTGTACGTTTGATACGTGCACCACGGGGAGCGGTAGCGGAGTGGTTAGTGGCCGTGCGCTATGAGCACAGGTGACCCCATCAAGCCTTTGTCTCCCCAGTGCACTTGCCCCATTAGTTTGCACGACCATAGGGGGATATTTGTCTGTGTTTTTATTTCCGGTGTTTTTCATAATCTGCATTGTAAACTAACGTTCTGAGATCTTTATATTTTTAAAATCATATTTTATTCGCGGTCTGCAAATTGTTTTCATGCACTCGCAACATTGTTTTGCTTGTGACCTAATTATTCCATTTATTAACGAAACTTTGGAATCTCAAGACACTTTCGCGAGTGTCCTAGTTTTAGTTGGTGTTTTTGCACATGGGAAGGAAAACCAGATTATCCTGAAAACACCGACTTCACATACACGGGTGTAAAGTTCACTTGCTACGCTGTCACAAATCAGCACGATTCACCAACCCCCTTGCCTCCAATGACAGGCACGCACCGCTACGCCCATCTCAAGTGCACTTAGATCTGCCTCGGATGAATGGTTTGAGTTTTTTTTTTACATTTACTTTAAGTAGGAGGTTGGCTGGGTAGCTCGGAGGCCATCACGCTGAGCCGGCATTACTGGGCCCTTTAGTGCAGAGTTGAAGGTCTCAGCCCATTGAATGTTGACAAGAAAAACACAATTGCATCAAATTTGGTTCTGCACTGCATTTGTATAAATAAAATTCGACCTCTCAATATATTCGTTTGACTGTTTTACAATGACTTCATAATAAAGGTTTTTGGGTTAGATCGCGTTTATTTATAAATGTGTCGTAACCCTCCACCACCCGACACGGCCAATCAGCAAAAAGTGTCACGTTGACAAAAGACAAATAGTTCACTACTTTAGCCCACCGGTGTGTTGAAGAGTGAATCCACAACATTTATAGTTTTAGTACGACGTTTCGCTGGTAATTACATCCAGCATCATCGGGCAATTCGCCAGAATGGTAAAGCCCTCACTTGCTCCCGGCCTTAAATAGAGCAGCAGGGTGACGTCATCATTTAACTCATTCAGGTGCAGTAATTTGAGGCGGAGGGGGGGTATTGTAATTATATAATCGATTGTTAATCAGTCAATGGTTATGATTAGTAATGAGTTGTAGATTGGTAATTAGCTGTAATGTGTGTTATTGTGATTATATGCTACATTAGTAATCCGTTAATTAATGTGTTTCCCCTATAAGGAATTGTAATATGTATTATTTAATAATACGCTTCCAAGCCGCACTAAGCCTATAGCTATCAGAACGATTAAAGTTATTTCTGTTTCTCTCAATTTCAATGGATTCTCTAATTAGTCTTTGCCAGTAATAATTAGTTTTACACAACACTTCAACGTTATCAAAATCAATTGAGTGTCCTTGTTGACAAGCATGTTCTGCTACTGCCGACAGTTGTGTTTGAGATAATTTAATATTTCTTTGGTGTTCTTTTGGTCTTACGTTGATGTTACGTCCCGTCTGTCCAATATAGCATCTGCCACATAAACAATTAATCCGATATACACCTTCTGTTGATAATTTAGGTAATTCGTCTTTAGTGCAAGATAATAGTTTTTGAATTTTGTGTACTGTACCAAATCTTACTGTAATATTTTGCTTTTGCAAAACACGGGCTAATTTGTCAGCTACTCCTGAGATATATGGAATTTTAATTGTTTTAACAATCTGATCGCTTTCAGCAGTGTTGCTTTGCGATCGTGATTTGGCATTCAGTGTTTTGTTAATTTGAGTATTATTGTAGCCATTCTGTCGTAATGCTTCTTTAACGTGTTTGATCTCTCTCACTAGACTTTCACCATCTGACACTGTTTTAGCCCGATGTATGAGCGTCTTGATAAGAGAGGATTTCTGAGCAGGATGATGATGCGAATCTGCATTCAGATAGGCATCAGTGTGCGTTTGCTTTCAGTAAACGCTGTGTTATTTTACCGTTTATGCCATGTCCAAGCAAAATATCTAGGAACGGGAGTGTGTTATTCACCTCCATTTCCATGGTGAACTGGATGGCCGGGTTTTGTGTATTGAGATGATTTATAAAATCATTAAGTGTATCTTTACTATGTGGCCAGACAACCAAAGTGTCATCCACATATCTAAACCAAAAATATGGTTTTAATGTGCTCGAGGCAAGTGCTCTTATTTCACAGTTTTCCATGTACAGATTTGCTATAGCAGGAGATAAAGGAGAGCCAATTGCTGCTCCTTCCTTTTGTTTAAAGAAATCCCCTCTCCATAAGAAGTAAGTGTTATTTAAACAATGGTCAGCAAGTTTCGGAATATCTTTTGGTAAACCTGTATTCTTTACTAGTGTATCAAGTAATATAAGCGATTCGTTCACTGGAACCTTAGTGAATAGAGAAATCACATCAAAACTTACCAGAATATCATTAGGATTAAGCTTGATATCTTTAATCACATTCACAAGATGTTCTGAATTTCTTATGAATGAAGATGTCCTACCGATGTAGGGCTGTATTTGTTTAGTTATATATTTAGCTAATTTATAAGTGGCAGAGCCAATTGTACTGACTATGGGTCATAATGGGATGCCGATTTTATGAATCTTTGGTAGCCCATACAGTCTAGTTGGTTTTGAGGCCCTTGGCTTAATTTGGTTTTGCTCATTCTTAGGGATTAATGAATTTGCAAGTATTGCAGTAGTCTTACGTTCTAAAGTGTTAGTTGGATCTCGTTTAATTTTAATGTCGGTACTTTCCTCTATTTAATTTCTAATTTTATTTTCACAATCGGCTCGTGACATCACTACAGTAGTGCGGCCTTTATCAGCTGCCGGGACTTGGATATCTTTATTTACACGGAGCTCTCTCTTAAGGCTTTTGCTTCGTTGGAGCTAATATTTACTTTTGAAACTTTGCTATTCTCAATTATTTTGGCAACCTCATGTCTAGTCATCTCTGCCTCATTATGTGGAAGGAGTCCTACTGCTGATTCTACCTCAGCAATTATCTCATCCACCGGAATTGTGCGTGGGGTAACGGCAAAGTGAAGGCCTTTAGAAAGGACAGAGATCATGTCACTAGTTAAAACAGTGTTAGTCAAGTTCATTACAGTTTTGTTTTTAAATTGTTCGTTTTTAGTAGGGATTTGTTTATTATGAAGTCTAGAAAATTTATTCATTTGGTTAGTTTTTGTTAGATTAAATACATTATCAGCCGATTGTTGTGTTATGGTATCGATTATATTCCAATAATGCTTGGATACACTATTGCTTATATCTAAGTATAACTGCTTTAGCGATTCCGAAATGTAACATAATTCACTCCTGTTGTGCTGTATTCTCTCTATTAATAATAATTCGCTAGCTTTGTATAGTATTTGGTTAGCTTTAGAAGACTTTATGTGATGTGTTATTTTAACTGCGTTTGGTATTACCTTTGAATCTCTGCACCTTTTGAGGAACGCCAGTGAAGATAACAGTTTCATCCGCTTAATGCGGAGCTTCTCCAACTTTCTGGTTTTAAGAAAAGTATCCTCCCCATAGAGGTTAGTCAGTTTAACACGTAGGCTTTCGCGACCAATATTATTCATAATAAAGGTTTTTGGGTTAGATCGCGTTTATTTATAAATGTGTCGTAACCCTCCACCACCCGACACGGCCAATCCGCAAAATAGTGTCACATTGACAAAAGACAATTAGTTCACTACTTTAGCCCACCGGTGTGTTGAAGAGTATTCAAACTGTAAATGTTGTGGATTCACTCTTCAACACACCGGTGGGCTAAAGTAGTGAACTAAATGTCTTTTTTCAACGATGTAACTTTTTTGCTGATTGGCCGTGTCGGGTGGTGGAGGGTTACGACACATTTATCAATAAACGCGATCTAACCCAAAAACCTTTATTATGAATAATATTGGTTGCAAAAGCCTACGTGTTAAACTGTTTTACAATGAACATTACTCTTGGGAAGAAGGGGGCTGGGGGGAGTGCTTGGGAAAGTTCTGCCCCCCCTACCGTTTTGAATCAGTCTCTCGGAGGTAGCTCTGTAATATCTGCTTCCGCGGGCCGTTCCCTAGACGCGAAACGCTGCGGTGCTCTGCGAAAGCTCCAAATTGGATTCTTCATCTCGTGACAAGATGCCAACGCCCCCAAATACGGATCGAATTGTGAAAGTCAAAACAGGAAATGTATATACATGCTGGAACTTGTCCGTGCGCGCGACGCAGAGAACCAGGCGTACTTTGCGCGGCACCGCTGGCCGCCCGTGTGGTACCTGAAGGAGGACGACCACCACCAGCGGGCACGCAAGGAGCGCGACCGCGAGGAGCAGCTGCTGGCCAAGCCTGCGAGCGCGCGCCGGCGCTGGTGCTTCTGGAGCTCTCCGACGGCGCCGCTCTCTACCTCCTCCTCCTCCACCGTGCTGTGAGAGGTTCGCCAGCGCCACCGCCGACTTCGCCGTCGCCGCTCTCCCTCCCCCGGGCCAGCGATAAATAAGCAAACAAGGCAGCGGCGCGCCGCGGTCAACGGTGTCGATGGTTTCGGCGTTCTGACAGCCGTCGCGCTGTTGCAACGGCGGCGCGCAATTGGATCTCGCTACTGGGTGCGATTAGCGGCCAGTAGGCTGATGGCGTGGCGCGATCAACCCGTTTAGAGTATGCCGCAGTACTGACCAGCGTGGTAAAGTGTGGCCAACAAAACTCCCCACGGCCCGCACGACATGGGGAGGCCCTCATCCAGCAGTGGATTAACAAAGGGCTGCACACGTGCATGGGGCACCGAACCCCCGTGTCCCTTTGTACCGAGGTTCTGATTGTAATCCTTTGGCAAGGTTCACGATAGGAGAGGTTAATGTGACCTTCCGGCGAGCGTAGTTGCGTTGACGCTGCTCCCATTTAGATGGGCCGTGACAAAAAACACGTCGATTTGAATGGTCGGTGGACGTGGAGACGTCAATAGCGGCGCGCGCACGGAGGGGGAAGGACGATAAATCGATGGGAATTATAAAATTACACACCGCGCTCGTCCTCCGAGCCCGTCCGCCCTGGCGGTGGATTGGCTCGGCTGCTCGCAGCGCGGAGAGTTGCTTCCCGTGGCGTTCCGGGAGGGAGTTCCGGGTGGGAGCTGTGCACGCGGGTGATGCTGCGTGGCACGGGGATGGGTGCGGTACGGGCAGCGGGGAACGATCGAACCTCACGAGAGAGGCCTCTGCCCCTCGTTCTTTGACTCCTCCTCTCTAACACTCGCGACCCTATTCCTTTTCTACTTGGGGTCCGTGTGATCAAAGCGCTTAAACCTCGTGTTTCTAAAACCTCCCCGACTACACTAGTGATCGACAACTCTTGGCGGGTGGTGGAGTTTACACGTTTTTGTTTATTTTTTTGCGTAGGCAGTTTGTGGATAGCGCGGGGGTTTTTTTTGACGGAAATTGCCAACGTTTGCCTGTGATGTAAATATAATCCCCAAGCATCTTCGCTTGGGGTTTGGACGGCCACCGCGGCCTCCGTGTTTATTTTATTTTAATTTCCTTTATAAAAATGTAGACGCTGGCGCTGGTTTGAGTGAGACGGCGGACGTAGCGCGCGTTTTACTGGTGTTCATAATTGTGTAATGTGCACGTCGACACTTTAAAGACTTATTCTGCATGTGTCGCACTTCGGACAAGGGTCTATAGCCGAGCGAGAAAGAAACTGCGCCGATTTGAATGCCTCTGGCGCCGACGCTCGGACCCTGATGTTGCAACGGCGAGCTCAGAAATAGTATTATAAAAAAAACACTCGGACGTGCACATTTGTATTATGATGCCGATGCATGGTGAACACAATTTTGCCAACGGATCTTTGAAAACAACAACAAAAATGTGAACACTCGAGTATTTTTTAAAGAAATGCCTTTCTGTGAAAACTATTTGGGGCGGGCAGGGAGGGGGGGGTACATGGCGCTCTTAAATTGAATCGTAGTTTACAAATCTTTTTATAGGGTTGTGTGTTCCCATTTCACCATATAGTTTACAAACTCAGCTGTGTTCAACACGTGGCCAAAGCAACCCAAGGGTGCGTTACATACGGCGACTAAGCACGCGCATGTGTGCGCGCATAACGGACCGGACAAAGCCATCTCTAGGACGGACGGATGGACACGAGCTTTTGGGTACAGGCAGGAGCAAAAGCTTCTCGTTGCGAATGGGAGTGAACTGCCTGGTGGCTGCTGAGAGTGTACATGCTGTGAAGAACTTCTCTCCCCCTTAGAACCGTTTAATTGTTTTTCGTTTTGTACGGCCGCGTGGAACCGCCGACGCGGTCCCACGCGGCCGTCGTCCGTTTAGCTGTGGGTGCCGCCACTTGGGACGGAAACAACTTTCTACGACGCGGCAGTCTCAAAAGAGTGGCGACGTCTCCCCCTGTCCGTTTGAGGCATTCCTTTTTTTTTTACAAATGCTCCACCATTGTAAATCGTAAACAAAAAAAACACGTTTTAGTAGCTGTCCTCGCATCCACCGTGGTTTAAGACCAGAGGACAAATACTGCCACTTGAATTTTGGCCTTTTTCCATGGCACAAAGACTGCTTTGTACAATAGTATAGGCATGCCAACAAGTGTATTTTGTAAAAAAAAACCCGAAGGCCTTCTCTTGGTGTTTACTCTGCAGTTTGTGTCGAGTCTCTTCTTCTTCTTTGGCTTCGAAAACAAATGCTTGTCCGCTTTGGACACTGTTGTTTTTTCGCCGTACGTGTTGTGCGTGTGCGAGAAATGCCCAAGCATAGCTGAAATTGAAACCACACCTCCCTCTTTTCCGCCAGCCCACTCGACCTCCCCTCCCCCCCCTGCTTCCTCCCTTACTCTCTATTAAGCACACGGTAGCTTAATAATTAATTGCACTTACCTGAACCTGAGCGACAGCGGGTGGCGGGTGTTTTGGCGGCCTTGACCGCATGAAATATTTTAGTGGGCAGCGCTGTGGGTGGGGGGGGGGAAGAGAGGAGGACGTTGGTGGCGTTACAAACACCACCCAGTGTGTGTTTTTGTTGCTTTCCAGAGGAATACGCGGGCGGTCGAGCGGGGTGGGTCGAAAGTCGCGAGGTGTATGGGGCAGGTCGCTGTAATATTTGACGGCTCCTGTGGTTGGTGTGAGGCGCGCGGTTTTGCACGTTGCCCCCCCCCCCACCACCACCACCCCGAGTGTCGTGCCTCGAACCTGGCCGTGCCAAGGACTGGCTTACGCCCGCGTTGTCGAAACGTCGGCCTGGTGCTTGTGCGGGCCGTGTGGTTTTGGGCATCCTGATTTAATGAAGTCGCCGGCAATTGACGTGGAAATTAATTGGTACGCCGCTATGCGCTCTTCCTTTTTTTCCCTTGACTCGCTACCCGAAGCCCCCTCGCTCTGAGCGGTGATCTCGTTTCCCTAAAGCACAACCAAAAGGGCCTGCGTCTAGACGAGAAGAAACATATGTGCACTCAGTAGGATACACTACTGCTTTTGTGTAAATCTCGGTGTGTCCCTTGTACATAATCTGTAAATAACGTCTCTTTGTATAGTGGCAGCTTATTTCACTAGACACCTGTTTTTTGTTTGTTTGTGTGTGTGTGGAATGGAATCCGTTTTGCCTCATGACCGGAACGCATTTTTTTTAAATGACCGCCTGACGTGAGTTGAGCATGTTGCTATGGCATTGTTATGGCAACGGACTTGACTTGAATTGGCAAAAAGCTGCAGCTTTACGCGAATGTAAAAAAAATAATAATGTAAAACGTTAGATTTGTTTTTCAACATCGGTGATCATTAACGCTCCCCCCCCCCCCCCACCGTGTCAGGGTAAAATTCCTGAAAAGGGCTAAAATCGTAAAATTTTACAGTGGTCACACCAAGTGCTGTTCACTCGAAAAAGAAAAAAAACCACAATGCACAGTTTCTTTATTTTGTTCAAACGTTGGTCTCTTTTCTTCCCTCGCGCTTGACATCGTTGAATCGCGCGTTCCTCCTTTGATGCCCCTCGTGCCGCATCATCGAAGAAAAAAAAACACGGCGTTGAGAAGGAAAAAAAACTATCACAGGGGGCCGTACTTGGAAGGCGCCAACCGTGCACTCTTTGAATGGCTGGTCCATTTTGTGAACTCCCGCGTTTGTCGCTCACGTGAAGTCCGGTTCACGTGTTGGTGGTGTTCCCCCGGTTTGTAAAACACACTTCCCGACCAAACCAACACCAACTCCCCCCCCCACCCCGGCACCGATTTTGTAAGTACTTTTCATAACACTGTAAACGTTAATTGGTTTTGAACCAATTTGGTCGGATTTATGTGTGTGATTTCAAATTTGTGAACATTTTATATGAACGATAACGTTATCAAAAAAAATGCAGAAGGTTAAAAACGATTTGCAGGAATTTGGTTCGCCAGCCATGGTGTACAACAGAGTCGATAAGTTTGCACATTGTGGCTTTGATTTAATTTCCTCTCATTTCTAGGCAGTGAGATTCGGGCGGATGTGTGTCAAACTCCTAGATTATTGACTGTTGCGAGTTTGTGAAGTTGATTTCGAGACGTCTGCTTCACGGTATTAAAAAAAACGTTGGAAAGGGGGTGGGCTGTGTAATAGCAGCACTGCCTCTCAAGTTCTTCGCTTGTAAAAAGTAAAAATAAGAAACCTGTATGAAAACATCTGAATAACTCTCTTGAGGTTAGGCGCGTCATTCGGTTGGACAGGCGTGTGAATGTAGTAAAATTACGGTTTCGTACTTCGCTGTGAACGGGCCAATAATTTACTTTAAAAAAAATGTAATTATGTAAAGAAATTAACCTGTCACGACCATGATGCCAAGTGTCTTGATTAGAAGCTGTTTTTTTGCTCCAGTCATGTTGTTTGTTGCAACAACGAAAAACACCCCGTTCAAGGCTGGAGGCCGATTCATTGAATGAAGCTTTTGGCGGTGTGCTATCAGGGGTTGTGATTTTGCCGGTGTGTTTGTGAGGGGTTGTGATTTCCCACCTCGTCCTGCGCGCGCGACGCGACCCGTTTTTAAGTTGCAGCTGCATCTCTCCCGCCCGGTTCTTGCCCCCTCCCGCGCCCATTCCGTGGTGTCGCGGCTACCCCGATGCGCGAGGCCGCAATGTCGCTCTGATCGCTCCTCGCGCGCGCGTTTCCTAAACGACGGCCGCGCCGTCGTCCTCGTTGCAAATTTCGAAAAGGCGAGACCGCCGCCTGCCCGCCCGCCCGCCCGCCCGCCCGCGCCTGGAGCTTTCGCCGAGGTGGAGTCAAGCTGACGACGGTGACGAATTGAAGAGTGAAACTTTTTTTTGTTGTTGTTAGGAAGCTTTCCCATTTTCTTTTGATGTGCCATAATTCTTCGCCGCCGCCGCCGCCGCCGACGACGACTTCTTCTGCGTGCTGTTTTACATTTCTGCTGAAGTTTTTTGATGTTTTGCGTGCACTGACGTTGTGTTCTTTAAAAGCGGTACAGTAAAGAGAAAATGAAACGAACCCGCTTTGCTGGGGGGGTTGTCCTTTGTTTGACACGTCTGCCTCCGTGACGGCGACCCCCCCCCCAATACCCGACGGGTGACTCCCACGATCGGGCACCGATCGGTTGAGCGTCATGCAGAGTTTGTGTCGGGCGTGCAGATTGAGGTGAGCCGAGAGACAGAGAGGCCTGCTCATAAGCTAAGCGGGGTTTCCGATTTAGAAACAGTCGACATGATTTGACTCGCACAAATTAAAACCTAGCTTTCTTAATTCACCGTGTCCTCAAGGCATTTAATCGAAACTCGGTTTGCTAATTAATCATCCCGAGACATCTCTGAAAAGGATGATCGCATTGTTTTTTTCTGGATAAATATTTTCCACGAATAAGCGCATGTCCTGGTCTCCAGTGAAATGCGTTTTTGTGGAGGTGTGATATATTTGACCTCTCTTCTCGATTTATTTAACCGAACAATTTTGTGACACTAATAAACAGACCGCACATTAGTGACAACGCTAAGCGGAAACCCCCCCAGTAACTATATGAGAATCAGAAACTTAATTCATACTGGAGGAATCCGATGAGCAATGAAGCTCTTTTTTGCACATGTCCAGGAATGCTCTAATTGTGGAACAGCTGCCCAACCATGCCTCAATAATAACCCTCCCTTGCCCCAGTAAAATATTAAGAGATGGCGTTGGCAGTGGGGGAGAAGCACAAAGGAGCATTTTGTCGATGACGCTGCCTTGCAGCATAAGGGAACGGCAGCAAAGGGATGGAACACGTCCTAGATGATCCCCGCCGAGGAGATGGAGTGATGGAATTGGCTCATGAGCAGGTGCTGGGTGGAATGTTCCATCGCAAGATCGCGAGAGGCTGTGGCATGACGAGGAGGAGGCATTAATTCAGTAGTACTGTAGTGGAGTATGAAGGTGTGTTGTGGAAACTGCGCGATTGCATGATCACACGGACAGTGTGGGTTATCTGGGGTCAGCCTGTGAAGAAGGCGAAAACAGTGTGGGTCGTGTTAGGACAGCCAGGTGCAAAGGCTGGGATGATGAGGTAACGGTTGGGCCAACTAAGCCAGAGGATCAGCAACGGCGGTGATTGGCTGTGGCTGTTGTCAAGGGCGAGGAGGCGTCGAGATGTCTGGAGAAAGGCAGGTGTTTGAGGACGCGAAGCGTGCAGAGGCACACGGGCCAATTAATTAGCGATAATGAGAATGGGGATAAATTGGGGGAGACAGAGAGAGCGGGGAGTTGTAGTTGGGAGCTGGACGAGGAAGACGTGGAGTTGGAAACAGTTTGGAAACAGAGTTTGGAAACGGAGTTGGAACAGTGTGAAGCAAGACGAAGTAGTTAGCAGTGGAGTGAGCGTAGCGATAGCGAAGCTGAAGACGCTGTGTGCGGAGTGTGCGAAGTCACTGTGCGAAGACGCTGTGTGCGGAGGAGCTGAGGAGAATAGCCAGCAGTGGAGAGAGCGTAGCAGTAGCGGAGCTTAAGACGCTGTGTGCGGAGTTGCTGAACGGGGAGTCGCTGAGTGCGAAGCAAGTGAAGTAATAGTGGGGAGACAAAGGTGGTGAGCGAGACGAGCGGAGCACGGTGAGCGAGCCGTGGTGACCAGGATACTGTGGAGTGTGGAGGACATGTTGAATGTTGTAAATAAAGCGGTGTTTGAAGAAAGACAGAAGTTGTCCGCGTAAAGTCGAACACTACAGTACCATTGACCATGGCTGATGATGATAAAGTAATATATATATACACAGTACACATACAGTCCTTAGACGTGTATTTTGGCCAGTGACATTCAGTATGAGAGAAAGCATAAATAATTACTGCGAGTTGAGCTCACACTTTTTATATTGTGGTCTTTGGAAAAACGTGGATAGGTGGTTATGTTCTCTTGACTCTCAAGGGCCATTTCCTGAAACGTTAGCCAATTATGTTACCAGGCAGTGTTAATGATCAATGTGGTATGGATTTTATTATTATATTTTTGTGCTTATCGCATTCATTAGGTGCTTAATTAGCAAGCCCGAAACCATTTGCTGCAAATTCAGGCAGAGTACAAATAATAATGAGCACATTGCAGAAGTCGCCCACAGACGACGCGGAGCTTCCATTGCCTCCAGTAGGGACAACAACAACAACCGCCACTAAGTGGTGGTGACGTCACCACGGGGCTTGTGCCAGGCTACGTGCACTTTTAATGCCGCGTGAGGGGTTGAACATTTTGCGGGCAGGTCACGGAACGGACCCAGGTGCCATGGGTTACCCGACTGACAGATGACTGGCCGATGCATCAGCTGTGCCGCCAGTAGGGACGGCAACACATTGGCGCAACGTTGTTTTTTTCAATCGCTTAATTGATCCAACCCGACAGCCCTAAACCCAAGACAGATTTAATGCCTTAAAATAGCTCCTGCAATCCTTTAATGAGCCACCCTGAGCTGATTTTGGTTTTGTGACTGAATTTTTACTCCCACTTTTGGGTGGGGGTGGGGACAGCGAGTGCTGTTTTTTTAAACACACGAGTGGGAGTCTCTTGTCAAAGTCAAACACGTGTTTGTTTATTGTTGTGGTCACTTGTGTTGTTGGCAGCAATGAGCTCAAACGGCAACGACACAAAAACAAATTCAATGCATACGTCAGTGACATTGCGCCAGAAGGAAAACAATATAATCGGTGGCATTTCGAGCAATGGCCCTTTAGCGATGAAGAAAGGGGCATTTTTTTTTAAGGGGCATTTGTCCAACACATTAATGAATTTATATTCTTTGGTTCTTTCGGTAAAGTCACGTAGATCGAAAACATTATAAAAGTAAATAAAATAAAAACTATGAAGTTTCGATCACAACACAAGGGATCGTCATCAGGAGGAAAAAGGGGTAAGGCCAATGAAGGCAACTTTTTAAAGGTTTAAAAATGGGCGTGGCACAAGCGTCCTGGTGTCAGAACGAAGTGGGCGGGGCATGTGCCCTGGGGTCAGAGTACCAAGGTGAAGCACGGAAGGTGACAAGAAAACATACAAGTTATGACTTAAAGTGGTTGATGACGTCCTTCAAATGATTGCTGAGTTTGTACCCATCCTCTCGGTTGAAATTGTCTGTGTCTGTATATATGGATGGCTTCGTGAACATATTCCCCGCCCACTTCGTTCTGACACCAGGACGCTTGTGCCACGCCTATTTTTTTTAAACCTTTAAAAACAGTTGTCTTCAGTGGCTTTACCCCTTTTTCCTCCTGATGACGATTGCTTGTTTTTATACAAGCGTCGTAGCTTTTATTTTATTTACTTTAATTATTGTTTTTTCTATCTACGTTACTTTACCGAAAGAACCAAATAATATGAATTCCTGCAGTCACGAATGTTTTAAGTCAATATTAATTAATTTAGCCAAAAATCCCAATGCAGCACGATCCCTGAAAGAGAATCTTGAAACGCAATGAAACATTATTTGGTGATGACGACCACCGCTGCTGCTGCTGAATTGGCTGTGGTGCATAAGCACAATTAACAAAAAACCTCAACATATTCGTTAATAACACTGCCTTAAAATAAAAAAATATATATAAATAGGTGACATATCCGGAAATGGCTCTTATACATGTATGTGTTTTGAAACAGGGCCATAGCCCGAAACGTCAATTATATATTTTTTTATTTTAAAGCTGTGGTATTGACGAATGAGTTGGGGCTTTTTGATAGCTGTATAAGGCTTTCTTGAATAAACAAAGACCACCACCATTGTGTCGCGTCCACCCAAGTCTCCCATCCGTCTCTGAAAATAATTATAATTCAGGGCCATCCTGAAGGGGAGTTTAGATTCGGCGATGTTTTTGGCTGGATAAACAAAGCCATTCCATAATTCTATTGCGATGATCTCAAGATGCTGTAGAGGAAAGATAATAACGTAATGTGGCGTTACTCGGTGATTTATGGAACGTACAGAACTGCTGGAGCTCGGAGGTCAGTCCGATCGCCACTGAGCCAGCGTGCATAGAGCTCACCGTTTGATTCCCAATGCAGGGACTTTGCAATTGCCTCCTGGGAATTGATGGAGCACACCGACTGTTATGAAGTGCGCATTGAAGACCCTGCGACTCGATAATCAAGAGTAGTTCTTCGTGTGCCAGTGTCGTGTAGCACAAATGGCAGATATGGAAATGCAGTTGCAGGCGGCTATAATTGGACGGCACAGAACACTTCAATTTCCTCCACTCAACAAAGCACATTTTCGAGTTCCATCTTGTCAAATAAAGAATTAACATTAATTGGATATCACCTTAAATAAAGGACATCAATGAACACGTGTGCGTCATAGATGTACGGTATCTATTTCAAACGAGCGAGCAGGCAAGTTTGTGCGTGTGGTGTTGTGCGTATGCGCCCATTTATAACCCGAACAACCCTCATGCATAATAAATCATGCCGGTGTTAATTATGAATAAGGCTTGTGGAAACACAGCTGTAGGATATACGTTTAAATGGTATTGATATATATTTTTTTGCTCCCATTGGTGCAGCATTGGCAATGAATCCGCGCGCGTGCATTCCTTAACGATCCGTCCGCGACACCAAAATCATTCTCGCCGCGCCGGATCTCGGCAGCTTAAGCAGTGGGTGGCTCCTGCTTGGCACGGGAGAGCGGGAGGCTGCCATGGGAATATCAGGCACGAAGCGGCTTGGGTTGCAAGGTGGCCGGCCAGGAGATTGCAAGTGCAGCATAAGTGGGTTTGTTTTATTTATTGATATCGTAGCACCGTGTTTACGTTTCGCTTGTAGGAAATATTTGTACGTGGAAGATCCCGCGAGATGGAAACACCGCGCCTCCGATTGGCACGGTCGGCTCACGCACGGTGCGAAAGAAGTCCAACACATACGTGCAGTGAGGGGAAAAAAAATTATTTGATCCCCTGCTGATTTTGTACGTTTGCCCACTGACAAAGACATGATCAGTCTATAATTTTAATGGTAGGTTTATTTGAACAGTGAGAGACAGAAAAACATAAAAAAATCC